AGCCCGCTCAGATATGTGTATATATATATATGTATAAAGGCTAAAAAAGAGTGACTTCTTTTTTCTAGGTGAATTTATTATGAAAGCATGTGATAGTAATTGCGAATGCATTAAGTATAACTGTGGATGCTGTCAGCATTTAGAATGGGACGCAGTCTCAATGGATGGGAAGTGTGAGTATAATTATTTGTTGTCTATACTATATGTATGTACAACAATTTAATATTAATACATCCCGTTCTATTTTCATATGTAGTATGCGTAAATGCAAGTTATCTAGAGAGGGATTATGGGGTTTCACTCACAGTGACATACAACAACTTCGCGATTTTTAACGAGACAATTTCAGGTATTACCCGATTGCAAGTTGAACCGTATGCAACATCAGCATCATATTTCAATAAATAAAATATATTTCTAGCTCGAAACCCACCGCCTATTTGCTTTGGGGAGGACATTATAGATGCATTGGATGCTGAAGTTTGCTTACGTGTTTATGACATAGACATTGACGCCAATAAGTTTCACGCGTGCTTTGAGATTTCGGGAAAAATAATGAAGCTCACAGTTACTAAAATAAAATTAGGATGTATCCAGACAAAACTGCGTAACAAGATAGACTATATAGAAAATCATTTGCCACCACTGTTTCGTAAAAAGACAGAAAAAAATGATATGTTACCCAGTGTGATTATGGTGTAAACAACGTAACTGAAGCACAGAATCTCTATAATTTGTATAAAATAGATAAAATAAAGTTTTTTCTATTCTTTATACTGTGGACGGTCTTTCAGAATATATCAATATGAAACGTGCTGTCTATGCTTCTTTCATTTTTGTGCCATATTTGCAGGATGATTAAGCTACATCTAACGTAATAATTAACGTTTGTGACGTTTAATAACTTTTATATATACGTTATTGAACGTCACAATATTTATCTCGTTTTAAATGCAACAACTTTTCAATATCTCAGCAACATGAAATCACGTAGTACTTTTCTTGTTTTCCTCTTCTTTTTCATGGCATTGAGAATCGGAAATTCCAGAAAGTACTACGCGATTCCGTGCTGCTAAGATACATTATTGATTATTTTTATATATATATATATATATATATATATATATATATATATTATATGAACGCCACAAATGTTAATTATTACGTTACGTTAGATGTAGTTTAATTATCATATAGATATAACATATATATGCACACACTTATGCAAAACAAAGTTATGGATCATTTCATATTTTTATATTTTGTCATAAACATTACATTATATTTTTTTAATCTTGTAAATCGATCCATGCATATTATTAATTGAATAATGATTTTAATATTAAAAATGTTTTATACATTTATTTTACTCTGCATTATTTCAAATGTTATTATAAATGTTTGTACATATATTTTACTCTCCATTATATCGAATGTTATTTTTCTGTGCTCTGTTATAATTATATTTTGCACAATTATACACTTAATTCAACATTGCTATCAATAGTCTTTTCCACTCGGCGCTGCAATCGTTCTGGAAAAAAAAACAAAAATACTCTTTCATATTATCGGTAAAATGGGCTCAGGAATTATATTTGTGAATGTATACGTTTATTGCAGATAAATGCATTGTTACATTTATGCTTTCGGATTATTGACACCCGTGTTAAATATCTGATTGGGTTCTTAGTAACGAAAATAATTCTCCTCGAGCTCAATTAATTCAATAGCGCGATCAGAAGCCGCTTATAGTCGTCGCCGCAGTCATTCTGTAAATGCAAAAGAATGTAGGAGAATTAAAGCTAAACATCAACCAAACTCGAGCCAAATCGTGACGTTCGTGTATATATATAATATATATTTATATACATACAATTAATTACAGAGGCATGCATGCGGTCAGAGATGGATGGACCAATTAATGGAATTAGTACAGTGAGGGGCAAAAATTTGCATTTGAATTAATAATCATACTTATAATTTGTACTGATATACAATTAATATATGCCAATCAATATATGTATAGATCGATTTACACTCGATCTTCACAGAGATTCGATTACGGTGATGTACAGGTGTCCTATTATTTTGCAACTCGTTGCATCACTCTAATCAAGCGCAAAACGTAAATAATATAACACGAGTAAAACCATATTCACCATTAACAGTCAGCTAAACGTAAGGAACTAATAAATAAATCAAGATCTTTATGCAGAATGCAACCAAGCGCTGTATAATCTCTGCGACATTGAAGTATAATTTTGAGATAAAAGGGTCTGTTGCACGATTGAAATTTTTCATCCGAGAAGGGTAAGCAAGAGTCTCTTGTAGTCGCCTGAACAGTCGTCCTGAAATTTATGGAAAGTTATACCGAGCGCTGAGAGATACAATGTATATGTGAGTTAACAGATTATTATTTTTATTATTATTATTATTGTAGTTTAGCGACTGCAGATGTATATATAAGTATAGAAGTGAGAGAGTTATGATGTGCGTAATTTAACTTCGATAAAGCAGTATTGTTCTAAGTGAATGAGTAAAAGCTTTGCATTGAAGCACTGGAATATTAAATTCCGTTTCGATAAAATAAATCTGAATTGAAGAAAGAAATTGACTCTCTGAATTTACCTAAGAGTTTGTCATTGAAAAATTATTCTGTTTAGATTTGTATTTCTATTATTAATATTATATTTTGTATATTTAATATTAATATTTTTTTTGTTTATATAATATTTATTGCGCATTATATTATCGCATTTCTCTGTCTTATTAATTTTACTGCTGCAGAAATAAAATACAATTATAAATAAAATACAATAAAAGGAGCGAACGAAACGGCCAGAGTAATAAGTAGCAAAAAATTATTACTGTTTCCATCGAAAGTAGCGTGTTTCACTTACGTCGATAGCTTCCGCAAGGGATTTCCCGTAAAGTCTCTCATAGGTATCTTTAATGTCGCCCAGATCGATCTCCGATCGCGCCACAATGATGCGGATCAACGTCGCATCGGTCGTGCCCATCCCGCGCATAGCTTTGTACAGTCTTTCCGCGAAATAAGCGGTTTTGTCGGAGGCGCATTTCACTAAAAAAGGAGACCATTTACAGTTTCAGAACAATAAAAAAAAATATATATATATGTGTGTGTATGGAAAACATGAAAAAACCGGTACAATTAATACAATGATAAATGAGATTTTTCTCAGATTACCGCTAATAATTCTAATAATCCCTTATTCCCAATTATTACAAATATGTATGTTAATCGTGAAAGGCTTAAATTTCTTCATGATGAATGAAACATATTTTTAATAACTTACCATGCATTGCAATTATAAAATAATAATAAGAGTAATGATGTTATATACATATTTAATTATTTCTCACCCACAGCTAAGTAGCCGTCTTCGACGGAACCAGAGAATTCTCGCTTGATAGCGTGCTCCAAAGTGTGTCCGGCCAGGCGCTCGTACTCCTTGAAGATTCTTCGCAATTGCGGAAAACTCTTGGTAATGAGGATTGCGTTGAAAGTACTCTCGTCGGTACCCCACTGTCCCTCGCCCGCGGCGTGGAGCCTCTCGGCGTCCTCACGTGCGGCTTCCTCATCGACGTCAGGATTCTCGTTTCTGCTGGCCTGTTAAATAAAAAGAAATAGAGAAAAATTGCCAAAATAGTCGCGCGGAGTGGCATATCATTTTCCAATTGTTACTCACGCAACACAGCGACACCAAAAGTCTCTTGAAATAACCGGAGGTATCACTCTTGAGATCGTCTTCCAGCTCTTTGTCGTACACTAAGAAGATAATTAAAAATATTTTCATAAACTGTGTAACTCAGAATCGAGCAGAACTATAAAATGAAATACGGTGCATTTTTTTAAATAAAATTCCTGGTCTATGCTTAAATAGGAGATGAACGGCAAAATTAACGCTGCGTGGAAACTTACGATCCTTGTAAACGGCCGATATCGTCTTGATGCCGTAGTTGCTCAGAGATGCGAGGACCTCGATGAGCGCACCCTCGTCGGTGCCCATGCCGGAAATGGCGTTGTGCAACTCCTTGGCGTAATACTCGGGAAGAGGCGTCATCAGGGCCAGGATGACATTCTCGAAGTTTCCGGACAGCTCCGACTTCAGCTCGGAGATGAGATCCTTGCCGTACATTGTCTTGAATTTGTCGGCGATCTCCAGTCGCTGGACGATGCCGCGATGAGCCAAGACGTCGATGACGGTCTGCTCATCGGTCCCGAAACCCTTCATCGCAGTCCGCAGAAGACTGGCATCTTCCTCGGCATCGAAGGGATCGGCCGGATACACGGTGGGCGTGCACTGGAAGCATTTTTAGTCTGCAGGCATTTCCGCTCGAAAGGATTATCAACAGATCGTCTCACAAGGAATGGATCGGTCAAGTGGGTATCGAGCTCACTATACAATTAACATATTAAAATTAATTTAGCGCGTTAGAGTTAGACAAATTAATTCACTAAATTTTTTATCGCAAAAGACTTGTTTTACTGCTAAATTATATCTTAAGTAATTAATAAAATACCGTTCTTTAAAAATTTGAAGCGCAAAACAAAAAATTCTACAACTTGAATATATTTTTAATTTGAAAATTCTTTTCAATTTTGCTTCTCTTAAACTACGTATTTGATGCTAATTTTAAGGAGGAGCAGTGATGCGATCGTTTTAACATTAACATGTCGATGAATGACTCATTCCTACTAAGATTTTATATAATATATTTTTGATATAATTTTTTGATATTGATTTTTCGTGTCATTTCAATAATTCGATTGGACTGCATCCTTTCCCTTTCTGAGTTTAGAGACATGATGCAGAAGTTATAAGATGGATAAGAATTATCGATTGAGATGGATAAGGAATTAAAACAGTATGGAAATAACGAGGTGCGTCATTCATGTTACTCAACCATTATTGCGAGACTTACTGCGAAGCTATGAGGATATTAACATGTATAGAAATTTACCTGTACGTGATAATACTGGCTAGCTGCCATCTCGCTGGTTATCTGAAAGCATTTTAATACGCATTTTATTTTAAATAGAAAATTAAAAATCCAGGATCGTTAGATCCATCGATCAATATCACATTTTGGGGGAGACAGATATTTTATTATTAGATTTATTAGATAAATGATTTAACAGCTTTCTCTTTTCAATATATATTCTGCGGTATCTAATTTGTAGATATTAGATTATTAATTATTTATTGATGCTTCGAGTATTAATCTGAGAGAACTGTAGAAAATACGAACGATTTTGTGGTTTAACTAAAATTCGCGTTATAATTGGTGGCATCTAATTGCAATGTGAAAGTCATGTGATTGTCATTAAATAAAGAGTGACAATGCGTGATGATAACTTTCATCTGTCGCGATTAAATGCGTGCAAACACGCGATCCGGCGACACGGTGCTTGCGTCCTTGACTCATTTCAGATACGCCTCACGTTCGCGATGATGATCTCATCGTGTAATACCCCACGTATCCATTCGCCTCTGTTGCTAGACGATTATTGAAAATCTGTTGTATCATTTCGTGTGATTTAGAACGACGAAGAGGGTGACACGGTCTATTTCGCAAGATACCGCAGGATCATATCGATCCGGACCGGCGAAGTGACACGATACTCCCCGGGGTGTGGCTTGCTTTACCTCCTTCGACGGCGTCGCGCTCTTTCCGGGGAACACGATATCGGTTCTGGTTGCCGACCAACTAACGGGCTCGCACCCAGCGTTCTCCGTCACCGAGAGCCTCTCTTCCCTCGGAGGACGGCAGAGAGAAGAGGAAAGGAATTCAATGGTGGGGCGAATACGCGTTTGTGTCTGCCGGCTACGAGAGCACCGGACGACGGTCCGGTATTCTTTTGCCGGATGAAATCCGGAATTGGATGACACAACGCGGAATAGACCGGTACCGGTCGTTCTGCTAACTCGACTCTCACACGGCCTCCTAATGCGAAACACTGCCGCGAATAATTTCTAATTATTTGCGTTATCCAACCGTGAATATTAATATTGCTCGTGCTTCTCTTATCTCCTCAGTATAATGAATATAATGATACGTATAATAAATTAATTAAATGATAATATTCAATTAACAAAATTGACTTCAACTTTGACATTTGTTGGCTGCTGCTCTATTTTAATAATTATGTTCTATGTTAATAATTCTTACTGACTGCAATAACATGAATATCCTATCCAAAACTATCGCTCTCAAAACAATACTGCGCCAGGAAATAGATCTAATGCAAGAAGCATGAAATCGATACCAATTGTTCGGATCATTACATCGATGGCTGGTTTCGCAACGCGAAAATATTAATGAACTACGTGTCTCTAACGGGAAAAGTTTAAAGTGCGAGCTACATATATATGTAGCCCATTAATATAATTGCCAACGATGGCGGAAGTTACATCGGCGTAACTTTAGTTTCTTATTCAATCTCTGACTCCCATAATGATTCATGCGAATTTCATGGCCGTTTTTTTTGCTCAGAGAAGAATAGGAAAATACAAATATCAGATATACTTTTAAGAAAAATACTTCAAGGTGCTAACAAATTTTCTGTATTGATCTTGATTGTTCGTGAAATGACAATGACTAAAATAATTTAGCAAACTTTAATTGTATCTTCTGTCTTGCAAGAGAGAAATATGCTATCGACAAATTTTACAAAGTTGCTCAGACTTTTTTTATATCTTTTTAGAATTTTATATAAGATTAACTGTGGGAAAATGAATAATCTGTTTATTCGCTTTATTGCCGGACTCAGCTGTTAATAATCTATCAGAGATTGCGTAATGAGTCACTGATTATATTTGAATCGCATTAAAAATTTGACGATAGTAAGATTTTATTGAGGTCAAGCAATATCGTAGCATGATTAATGTGCTGATACAACTTAATCGATCAAAGTCAAGTATATACATAACGGAAAAAGTTTCATATATCATTTTAATCCAAACTAGTCATGCTTGTATAAAATAGCATATTAGTCACTTTCTTTTTCAAGGAATGTTATATGTTAACTTCACTAACAGCTGTTTACGCAAAGTGTCGGCTGATCAGAAAGATTGTAATCTTCATTTCAGTCTTCACTTTTATGTTATATATCTTATAGCTTCACTTACACTTTTGCGTAGGGACACCGGCTTTCGAAATTCTTCACCGCGGTCTACACGAGTGTGAATGCTTCGCTGACTGGGTGGGAACGTTCTGACAGCGGCGATATTAAGGACAGCATTGAGGAGAGAGAGAGAATGTGTGTTGGTGGGGTTGTCGACGTAGCATCGAAATGACGTGGAGAACGGAATATCCTGTAGCGAGCCAAAAGATGGCGAGTAAACTATCAGATTGTTGCCGTATACGAAATCGATAAGACCATAATAAAAACAATATCTATATATATAGGAAAGCCGGATTATATCAATGCATGGCCTGAGTTGCGGAATTATGATATCTCGTTATTGATTTATAAATGTACTATTTATAATTTTAAAATGATTTGACACAAGCTGAAAGTAATAATATATAATCACGTTACACGACGATTTATCAAAGTTCCGTAACATAGAGTTCATGTTCATTTTTAACTTTAGACAGATATAGATTTTATAAAGCTTTTGGAATTGTTTTTACTGTATTTACAGTTCATAAAAGTTATAAACTTATGTGTGGAGAGGATTTACAGAACGATTTTAGATGCAATATAATTACATCATAATTAAAAAAAATTTTTTAATATGTTATGTCAAATAAAATTTTAAAGAATTTGTGAGAAAAAATTTTGCTAGCTCAGTCTTTCTTTTCTAATTAAGAGGAAAATCGGAGGATAAGAGCGTCGAATCTACTTTACCTGTGCAGTTTCATGAAATTAAGAATGTATCATTTATTACGTACTTCCTTAAGTCATCACTTAATAATGTTACTCACGAAGTGTACATGATTCATAATCCTTGACTCAATGAGAACAGATCGTGACGTTCTTTTGCACGTAGAATGCGTGACGGAATCGGCACGCATGGATTGAGTGCCTCGGAAGTCACGCGTTTTCCTGTGAACCGCAGAATGAGATCGAACTATAAATAAACGTATTGTAACATCGCGGGGCATTATTTAGTTAAAAGCGATCATGTCTTTAACAAACGCGAAACGAGCAAGTTGTCAATTACGCTGAACCGACAATTGGCAGGTGTCCAAAAATGATCGATAAATCGATTGATCCCGAACGAATTTTTAACATGGCTTTAATTTAAACTTCATCTCTGCATGCAATGTAATCCTAAGCAGATGCCATGAGTTTTACTGAAATTTCAGTTCCATTAAATGATACATTTGTATGTATAATTATATATATATATATATATATATATATATATATAAAATTATATTGCATTATAATGTGTAAACGCACATTGTTTTGTACCAGTACTTATTCTCTGTGCGCGTGTATGATGTCATACTGTGTAACATGCATACTTGTAAATTTATTCATTGGACACTATAATCGGATTTTCATGACGCATTGCAGAGGAATTCGATGAATCCACTATGGTATCCAGTACTATCTAGTATTCAATACACAAGGATTGTTATTTAAGAGCGTATTTACGATAGACTTTTGCGTCGACGATAATAGCAGAGAAAATGTATAGAACGATATTCCTGTAAGATCTCGTTATTGCAATGCATTTTATAATAAATTGCGGAGAAAAACGTTACAGAATATAATTCTTTGTATTAAAAATTGGCACTTGAAGCATATATAACTTACGGTAGAAGGAAAACACCGAGAAGCCGTCTGAAAATGTTTTATTAAGATTACATATGGCAAGCGAGGCTTCCTTCCGTTTCCAATTCCTCAAATTAAAAATCCGTCTCCGCCAACACTTTTTCCCGTTAAAAAGTGCATCCCCCCTACCACATCTTGCACTTGTGTCTTATCTAGATTATCTAATTTGTCTAGGTTTATCACCTTTGCCACTTTGAGAGATTTCGTCCAGACCTCCTTGTGCGAATCGTTCCCTTACGCCACGTCCGCGCTGCACCAATTACCGTACAGCGAAGAGTGAATGCTGCAATCATCCCCGTAACCACGGAATAATATCCCGATAATGAATTTCTCACATTTTGCAGAATATATGATACATCGTCTTAACAGTAAAATGTATATTTTCAACATACCGTATAAGGATTTATAAAAAAAAAGTTAACATACAGCACTGAAAAGCCTTCGTCAAATACATCAGAACAGATCTTGATGATTCCGCGTTGTGCGTAGCAAAGAAACCACCTTGTACACATTTTCAAATCGTACACGTACGATATCCTATCTTACTTATCGTCTATCTTTCGACTATACAAGGCGTTCTGCGATATACAATCTTGAGTCTTCAACATCGACGGATTTGAAATAGATTTTCTCTTAGCGAAAATACGTCGAGGAAAGTCACATTCAAAGCAACCGTTTAATTTTCAAATGTCAATTGTACATCTTTGTAACTAAATTCCTCTTGTTAATTCTTTCAGTTATCGTTTTCCTGAAGTAAACTAAATATAAATAAAAAGATTCAGCATCTCAATTTAAAAAAAGACAAAAAATAAATATTTATCGAACATGTTATTTATAAAATTCTATTTTCATAAATAGGATATTACACGTTTATTCGTTTTTTTATTTTTATTAAAATAAGTTTAACTAATGGCACAATATCGAAAATGGCTTAAAACAGAAAAGATATTACTAATATTTTAGACTCAAAAAGTTTAACAAAACTTTGTGCAGAAAAATTTTATCCTGCATTTTTTATTAATTTTTTTCAAGTAAAATTATCTGATTGCGTCGCCAATAATCACCTTGTACAATCAAAACCGTTTATTATTAACGGTTCTATACAGTGCGTGTCAGACATTCTAGATCCCCATGAATCAACGATAATGAAGAGAAATTGTATATGCAAGAACAATACGATATAGTATACAATGAAATTAATTAATTTTGCTACATAATCGGGATTCTACTAAAGGTTGTTAACATTAAATGCGTAGACATTATTAATTATGTTCACAGGGTAACTGTAATTTGTTACGAGAAAATGAAAGTAAAAAAAAGAAAAAGAAAAGGAATTCGAGAAACGCATGTTACGCTAATTGTGTGACGTTCTTGATATGTTTTATGTATCTAACTATTAAACATTTTTGCAGGCGCAATTAATACAATGTATTTGCAATACCGGTAATTAAAATATCTCTAACGACAATGCCACTCGCAATAATACATAATGAAGATATCAATAATGGATGTATAGGGAGAAAGAGAGAGATTTGAGCGATAGTAATAGTTAGATTAAGAGGGTGACTTAATAATAGTATCATGACCGCAAGTAGTAGAAGTAGCAGCAATAGCAGTGACATTAGTAATGCTCTTTCAGCAACAATAATAATAATATACGTTTCGAGTATTCGTACAATAAAAAAAGTAACAAACATGCATTTAACATAATAATTTCTATATAAAAAAAAACGAACTGCAAATACTATATAAATCTGGCGGCCAAGACGCGACGTAAAATTACTACACAGTTTCTTCGATGGGATCTCGAAATACATAAGTGCATATATTAATCACTTAATTATAAATGCGCGTGTTCATGCGACAATTATTAGCTTCAATACATGTCATGGAAAATTAAAGTATTCCTACGTACAGTAAAACGTCGATCATCCGAGAATATAAATTAACACGAGAACCGATGCTACGAATAACGATTATACTAGTACAAAAAACATTAAATATACAGCGTTTTCTACTGGGAAAATTGGTGCAGACATTAGCGCCGTTAGGTTTCGATAAAAATTGCACTAGTGCAATAATAGTGTAGGTTTACTATTATTATATATAACAAATATAACTACATAAATTTTAAATTGCTTATTTTTCAACATTTTTCTGATTTACTTCGTTTTTAGAATTTTTAAATTTTTTAAACGTGAAAATATTAATGCTATTACGCAGTTATCATTAGACATATAAAACTAAAAATATCGTTGTTTAAAAAATGCAATAGCATATCTTAACATAATTAATGTAATATCATATCTTAAAGTACAAACACAACCTCAATTTTAATTTCCACTGGTCTTCCATTGTCTCTAAAGATGGTGGAGTAAAAGTTAAACTCAGTATAATTTTTCTTTGCAGTTTTGTCAACATTAAACATTGAAAATACGTAAACTGATTTTTACAGGAACAATATAATTGCACTCAGTGTGCGCGAATGTTACACTAGTTTTCCCAGTAGAAAACGCTAATAGACATACACATTAAACACAAAGTACGATAAGGACAACAAAAGAGAATCTTAGCGAAAAATCTTATAATAAATGATAATATCTTTAAAATAAGAAATATATGTATATATTCCTTAAAAACATAAATTCTCTCTCTAATAACAAGATTATATATAATTCCGTAAATATAACATTGCTTTAAACCCTCCAGTACTGTCATACTTTATACAATCTCAAGCTTGATGTTGAATTGCAACAAATGTCTTTAATAAAAGAAAATATATATTACTGGTGATTTGGCGATTTCGATTTGTTGCAAAATCAATGCGATCATTGGCAAGCGCGCATGAATAATAAATGGCATCGGTGCACGAGTACTGCAGGATTCAAAAATTGAAATAAATGTATGTACAAAATGTTCCAGAGAGATTCGCTGCATTCGCTTCTGTCTACGAATTCTTTAACCGGAGATCGCTCAGATCAAAGGACTCTGGTAGCTGAGAGGAAATGCGCGCGAGACCTGAAACTATTTTCTCTCTACATATATTATATGTTAGCGAAACGCAGTAGTTGTGAGAGGCGGAGGATGCGTACTTCAATATTAGATAATGCGTTCGGGGAAGCAGATATTATATTTGTCTCGTACTGATATCGGTAATCTTTGTTGGAAGAATATCATTTTCTCTTTCGTGTGCCGTCTTTCTTCTTGATGGATTGTTCGCAGGAACGCTCTTACGAAAAACAAACTCTCTCTCACAAACACGCACTTGGGACAGTCGCCGTTCTACTGTATTTTTATACATAAGAATGGTGCTCGCATACAGACAAATTCAACAGTAATTGTATTGCATCCTTTACAGAATGGGACACCTGACTTTACCATCTGAAATATCTTCCATCTAACACGACAGACGTAAGAGGTAAAACGTATCTCACAAAAGATCGCAGCAGCAGATATTGTTGGAATGGTCGATTAATTTTTTGCATACACAATATAATACACTTGAATACGATAAAGAGGAAAAATACGAAATAAATGTTTAATTCACAAGAGTAAAAAAAAGTATAAAAAACGTATTTGTCAAGATGAAAATTATCACAGACATTCTGTAATATGATGAATGTATCACGCACATCATCAATCAGTTGGACATATGTTTACGCGTTTGGCATAATAAAATTCGAAGGTGGTTTTGTACATATTGTGAAGCAATGATTCTTAAACGACATTCCAGAGAAGACTCTTGTTATGTTCACTTAGTTAATCTACACTATGCAGCAAACATTTTCTAAAAATCGCGAAATTTTCGTATTTGTCTTTGTCGTCTTATATCTAAAATTGAAATCGTAGTAGAAAAGTAAAAAAGTAACACAAAGATACTATTATATCATTATAAAATAGTATAAATTTAAGTCTAAAGTAGATTAGAAAAAGTAATTACGCAGATAAAAGAAATATAAAAGGGGGTATCAACATTTTTTGTCCTTCTTCATTCTTATATATAAATTGCTTGAAATTGATTTCTTTTATTGTCGGTATTTCTTTTCTATTTTTATATATACAAGCACCCTAGTTTTGTCTGCTATTTATATAAGTTCATTGGAGCTTTGTTAATGTCTTACAAACAAATGTAATTACTGGTATGCGTAAGTGTAAACGATAACTGATATGCACTTGCTTCTGAATTAGCGACACGCCTAAAGAATTACGAAAGCGATGAGAGCGATGAGTTTTGCCTAGGGAACTGTCAACCTCCTGTAATTCATTTATAAACCTATATAAAATATCTTTGGACAGAGATTCAATATAAACTTCCTTCACATGCTCGACCACTTTAATAATGTATAAGTTTGACTGTATATTTTTAGACAACCCTGTATGATCCATAGAGAGACTAATACATTTGAATACTCGAGCAGATTTAAACAATTTAGATATCGTTTAACGCAACAGAGAGTCTTAAGCTCTTGCGTTTGAGACACAGGGGAACTGAACACTCTCTATCGTATAATATATGTAAATTATTTAATTGCGTTCCAGCGTTCGCAAATATCTCCCTTACGTATTACCCGTAACTATTAGTATCTGGTCGACATGTGACACGGCTTGAGTTCTACACTTCTTAAATCACTAGACTCCCATTCAGTTTTCTATTAAGTCACTTGTGAATTCGTCGAGGATGAGCTCATCATTAGTAATATTCACATTCTACGAAATATGTGTAAGATCTTTAATCTCGACAGATTAGAGTGGACTGCAATTGTTTGAATCGAAGAATGTATAACAAAAAGAAGCCACACTTTCAATCTTCAGTTTTTAAGAATTAAAAATGAGAACAAATGCTACTGTATAACTGCAATAAAATAACTATTACCATATTTAAAATGGGAAAGTCTACGTAGTAGTAATTGTTAATCTTTTTTTAACAGTTATTACTATGTTTTAGAATGAGAGTCTAATAATATAACTGTTACATAAAGAAAGTAAGTATGTCTCGCAGACCATAAAAATATAAGAACTTTTCTATGCAGTACAATATTCAGAAAAAGAATATATCAAAGTGAGTATTAAATCAGTTTCTTAAAATTCTCTACAATTTCTGTAAAAAAAAAATATATATATATATATATGGAGAACTCCTTTTAACTCTAGTAAGAAAGATAATCACCGGTTACGTTTTTAGAAACAGAATCAAGTGCAAATTTAACTGAACTTATACTTTCTAAAATCACACACAATCTATACCGCATATAGACGTGTAGACGGAGAGAAAGTAGATGGTAAAGTCAGTGTCCTATTCTGTATACAAACAATAGCACAATTATGGCACAAAACTTATCCTTGAAAAAAAAAAGAAAGCTTTAAACGGGTCAGGTCGACTCGAATTTAAATACATATTTCAGGGAGCAATCTCTTCTGTAGTGTACTATTTTCGAGACAATTATATCTCAGTTATACTATAATTCTTTCTGCTCTCGATTTAATCTGCATTCGACTTTGCTTTCTGTTCTCGGAACTTCTCTCTTTGTTATTAATCTATATCGTCCATTCGTACATCGCGCTCTTATAGTAAATACAAAAGACCTAAGAGAGGCACTCTTAGGTTTCTTTCCCCTATCGCGCAAACTCTTAAGTTTGCAACGTGTTTGTGATTTCTCGATGTACAGTTACCAAATCCTGTATGTAGCCAGCTAATCTAGCGTTTAACGTATCCAAATTTTGTTTTTGAACTTTATTTGCACTCAACGCAAGTTCTAATTGTTCATGAACTACATTCAACATCTCGCGAAGCTCTGAATTCTCCTTTTGTAGAGCCTTGCAAAGAAAATGAAAAAGAGATGTTTGTTAATCAAAACAACTTGATAAAATATCAAAAATGTCATTGCCGAGCGCCCGATCGTCAGGCACCGAGCAAGCCCGGTTGTACATACCACAAAATCCTTATTCTTGGTGGCCATGGTGAGAGCTTTGATTTCATCGTTTCGCGTTCTCAGCTCGCTTTCCAGTGCCTCGACTCTCAATCTGAGCGCTTCGCTGTTACCCTCCGCGATCTTACCGGTCTCCAAATCGGCGTACTTGAGTTTTATTTTGGCATTTTCCTCTTTGTACAACTGCAGCTGCCTCTTCCACTCGTCGACGTTGGCCGTGGACTCCTGCAACGCGCTCGTTAATCTTGCATTATTGGTTTTCAGGGTAGTCAATTCAACCTGCAAAATAGCATAATCGGTTATTTTATTATCGTCTACAATTCTAAAAGTAGAATATATTTTTCTAACGCACCTCCCATTTCTTCGCGTTAGCAGAACTTTGAGCTAGGGCGAGTTTCAGCCTGTCGTTCTCATACTTGAGCTGCACCTCAGCCGACTGTCCACTTTGCGACGAGCTCAATTGCGCCGATTTCCCTTGATGTTGCGGACTTTCTGTACTCTGAGAAACACTCTGTGATCTTGAATGGACTGCGTTTTTCAATTCGTCGTCCACTTTATTCTGAAAACTACCAGGTAAAGGACTGCTGCTTACCGAAGATACACTGTTCTGAGCGGAAATCATATTGGCATTCACGTTCGCCGAGTTCGACGACGACATGTTGGAGTTAATCATCGAGGAGCTGGGCGGGTCTATGAGATCCTGCTCCGACGACGGCATGCCCGATCGGGACGTGATCGGGCTGACGTTCGCGCTGGTGGCCGGCGTGACGGACGAGCTGTTCGACTGCAGCTTGGCGTTGGCCAGCTTCGTGGCCTCCTTCACCTCGTGAAACTTCTCGATGAACTGTTAATGAGAGGAGAGTTAGCGTCACCATTCAGGGTGGTACGATTACACGCTTTTCGTAACAAATCGTAAGCGATTCGACGGGCAACGAACCTTTCCTAATTCAGCCTCGGACGCGAAGCCCAAGCCGTACACGGTATTCGCCCTGACGTCCGACCACTGGCCAAACTTCTGCGATGTCTTGGTGAAAGTCATGTTCGGGGTAATTGTGCTATTTATGACAGGCTGAGGAAAAGAAAGAATCAAGTGTATATCGTGATGATTTCACGTCTTACATCTCTCTATTCTACTAGAGTAGCCATTCTTTCAATTACCTTTGCCCCTTCGATCGAAATTATTCTGTATAAACTCCTGGTGGAATCGTAAAAGAACGATACTGATATTGCTGCCGACGACGCCGGTACCCAAGACCGCTTGGTCTTGGGATCGATGTGAAACACGTGCGCTTTGCACATGAAAATTGGTTGTTCACTGTAATCAATTTGAACAATAACAGGGCAGTGCGTATGCGGTCTTCCATATATGATACAAAAGCGTCTATTTTTAACCGACCTAGTTAATGCGAGTGCATATTTAAAGGTGTACAGTACAGAATTGTTGTGTAAAATTATGAACAGCGAATAAATATGCAAAATTAAATTAAATTTGCAAAAAAAAAAGGGATAATATATTTGACATTGCTATTTAATATTAGCAATTAAAAAATATAATTTCTCACGTTTCATCAATGATGTATTATTTTAATAAAAAATTCCTCTCGCAATTCAATTTGCAAGGTAATAAAATAAATAAAATTTTTAAAAATGAAATACAAGATATTTAATCACGATACACACGACTTCGATTAAAACGTCGGCGCGGGCGATGAAAAAAAAAAGTTAGGTGCATTATTATATTGTTCTCAGATATAAATGATCTCGCGTAAAAAAATATTCTGCCGCGCGTATCTTAAAAAATGTTTCGAGTTTTCGAGCGACGGTTCGAAATTCTCGTCGAAACTCGCGATGGGATCGACCTTTCCTCCCTGCGGTGATCGACGGCGACGGCGGCGAGACGGAACGGGGATGCCGCCGTACGTGCCGCAATTTCTCGCGGCGGGGAAAAGAAGGGAAGGAAAGCGGGGTGCACATCGCGCGCCCGGTGTTACCCGGAGGATACGCGGCGCATCATCAGTGTCAATCAGGCCGGCCAGTCGGGTCGCGGGGGGGAGAGAGAGAGAGAGAGAGAGAGAGACGATCGAGTGTATGTACACGCATAGCGAGAGGCGCAGCGCTGCGTGCCGCGCCAGAGGGGGCCGGATCCCCGTCTGCCGCATCTCCGCGGATCATCTCCGCGGATGCCGATGCGACGCGGACGGTACGGTTCGCGGCGCGGAGTAACGCAATGAGTGCGTGTGCCTGCGTGCGACGGGGATGCCGGCGACAGGCGCGGCACGCGTTACTCACGCAGGGGCGGAGGGAAGGAAGGAAGGAAGGAAGGAAGGAGATTAATTCCCATCGTACGCGGGGTACGACGAGTACCCGGCGCGGTCGGTGCGTCGTGCACCCTTAAAAGGAGGCGCGGAAGCGCGGTGCGCGCGCGAGAGAGAGAATAGAGGAGAGGAGAAAGGAGAGGGCCAAAAGGCGCCCCAGCGGGGGGGCCGGAACTCGCAACTTACCCCATTGTCTCCTTGCCCGATGTCATATATAAGTGGATATGCCCGTCGAGTCGCGGCGCTTCCGTGAGATCCTGCTGCGCGCATTCAACGCGAGCGCGCGCCGGCTATTTTCGGCCCGGGGCGAGGCGTGGGTCACCGCGACACGGCGGCCGGAGTACCGTACGTGCGAGGAGGGCTGAGCGCCGCGAGTTGACAGCCGCCATCGGCCAAAACTCCCCCACCCACCGCGCGCTCTCCCTCGCGCCGCGCTGTATACGATGTAATACGACTTGCACGCGCGCTCTCCTCCTGTTCTTACAGCGGCGTACGGCGTATACGGCGGCGGCGGTGGCGGCGGCAGCGGTCACGCGACGGCATGAACGTAGCACGAAGAGTCACACTACGCTACGCGCGTTCCACCACCTGGGCCCCACCGATCGATTTTTCCGCGAAGGGCACGCGCCATTCGCCGTTTAACCTCCGCCTCGGCACGCCGCACACCTCCGCGCGCCACGGCACCACCGTCGAACGATTCCAGCGAATCTCCAACCAACTGACGAGCGCAACTCCGCGGCGAGAAGTTACGGGGAGAAATATGCCGAAGTGCCCTCCCCCGCCCCACTTCGCGCGAGCGCAACGCGGATTTGCCCTCAAGCCGCGAACGCAACGACGCGACGGCGAGAGAGAGAGAGCGGCGGTTCGAAAATGGCGGCGTAAATTAGGTTAGGATGATGAAAAAGAAGAAAAAGCGCTAGGAAACTGTGTATAGGGAACTTGGACGCGCTGAAGTTCGCCGCGCCGCTCGTTCGGTTGGCAGCGAGACCTGGCCGCGTAACGCGTTCGATATTCGCATTCCGAAGGCGGCTTCGTTCGAGCGAGCTTTCAATCAACTTCAGTTAGCGTAATGGATGATTAATCGGTTGACTCGTCGATCTGCAGCATTTCGTTAACACGGACAGAATTGTCAATGTTTTATCGCTTTTGACATGTGGAGAAAAAAAGATTGCCGAAAAAAAATTAAACGCCCGCAGGGACGAACGAGTGATGTAATCAGAAATTTTGCAACTCCGCCGTTTCAATTAGTCGCTTTAATTAAGGAGATTGATCCTAATTTTACTTCTGATGCAATATTGCTGGAAAGGTAGTTATTACTGCTTGTTTATAATGTGTGTCATGTATTCGTTTTAATTACCGTTTTCTCTTAAAAAAGATATTTGTTTTTTTTTAATGCTGAGTAGATTTTTTCTATTTTTATAAAGTATGTAAATGTACATTAATATGCATTTACTCTGCACTAAATGAATTTTACAGAAAAGATCAATAACAGAAAGAAAAGTAAACAAATAAATTCAAACTGGTTCTATATTTAAATTTCTATATTTAAATAAATTATAATTTTAATATCAGAATTCAAATTTAAGCATATAAATTGTAATTATAATTTATAGAAATTAAACATACCTGTGTGTATGTATGTGTCAGTACTGAATAATAGACATTTATAAAAGAAAATACTGGATTAAAAATACTAGAATACTAGAAGAAAAGAAAACCTGTAAAAATGAGGCTTATCTCGCTCGGGAAGTTTCATAATAATTTTTTGCACATTATTGCAATATATATGATTTAACAGACGTTTGACATTTTTGATTTGATTGATTACCATTGTAGACAAGAGCCATATCCTTGCAAACGTATCCTCATGAAACATAATTTAATATATAGTATAAATAATATGTAAAACAAATGCTACATTTTTATTCGACATAAGTCTCACGGTGACAAAGAGATCATTGCACATAAATAATTTAATCCGTGAAAGTTGGACGATTAACGTGGAGCGTAATAGGCTTGGCATCACCCGCGGCGATCTTTCAGTCTAAGGCTGCGGTCCGATTTACGCTCACAGCGCTCGTGATCATTATTTGTCTTTATTCAATACGATTTATTCGATCAACATGGACAAAATGATTCTAAGAGCTTCGTGAGCATAATGGGGATCGCCTAACACTAATTAACATAGACGGCTCCTCGGTGTCATTCAGACTTTGTCGAAAGAGCTGAGCGTGCTGCCAGGCCAGTTCGCCCTGTCCGCCGGACAGCGTTACGATTACGTTCAATCGCACCGCCCCTCTCACCTCCTCCGTGCGAAAGTTGCCGCAGTCGGGCACGGCTATAACGACCGTTCTGTCGTCGAAGACGGCCTCGATCTCCCAGGATACCGTCGCGCCCTGGAACACCTCCGACTTGGCTCGCAAAGAAAACTCCTCGAGACGCGACGCGGAATTCGCGACTTCGAGTGTCCACTTGACACGTCCGCGTTTCGCCTGCGGTGACCGCGCCAAATAGACCATCTTCCAATCGTTCTCCGCCTTACGGAAGATTCCACCCTCCGTGGCGTTCATCCCTTCCAGCCATCCGGATTTCTCCTCCAGAACGGTGCTGGCGTCGCGCGTGACGCGGTATTGATCTTTAACGATGTTGTATTGCAATTCGAACGTCTCGCCGTATTTGGAGATGTCCCAAATATAATTCTTCTCCGTGTCGACCTGACAAAAGGAATTTAATGAGAGATGGACCGTGAATGAAAGTTCTCGTTATCAACTTATTTAGTAGTCAATTTTCAAAACGTAAAATTAATACAGACATACAGTATGCGAATTTTATTTAAACATTTTACATCGAAAAAGAACATAAATCGGAAGATTCTCCAAGTATTTTATGCTGTCGTATTTCAAAAGATTTGACTTGTCCTCCAAAAAAAAAAAAACTTAATTATATGTATATCTATACCTGCGGCGTAATTTCGCCTCGTGCCAGTCTCCACATAACAGAACCGGAGGTGCGTCCCTCGTAGGTCTCCTCGTCGGACTCCTTGTCCTGCGAATTTGGAATGTACAGCATGTCGGCGAGCTCCAGCAGTTTCCGCTTGACGATGTACTCCCTACGCGCGCGGCTGTAACCGGCGGAGCTCTGCCGCTGGTGGCTCAACGACTCGAGCAGATGCATCAAGGTCTGCTCGGCGCAAGCTTTTCGCCTCTTCATCACGGCCTCCTGGTCCCGCGTGTAACGCCACGTGACGTCCTGCACCTCGTCCCTGGAGTAGGCTATTACATACGTCAGCTTCTTCTGCCACCCCCTCTCGTACATCAGCGGCTTGTCTATGACGTTTTCGCACGGGTCTACGTGAACCCATCTCTTGTTCGACGCCGACCATATCTGAGAGTTAAAGGGACAAGAGTTATATCAACGAGTCGCAATTATATACTTCGAATAAATAAAAACTTCGACAATAAATTCGACGTACCTCCGTCCAGACGTGATCCGTCTCGTCGCATATAAATCGCGCGTCGTACCCTAACGATCGGCATAGGAGGGTGAAGACATCAGCCCACTCCCCGCAGCGACCGCGTCTCAGGGTCAGCAGTGGCTCTGGATGCGTATAACGAGGAAATTCGACAACTATATTGCACTTTTGACATCTAAGATTGAATCAACGTCACAGTGATAATCGCAGAATCGCTCGCACGGTAACATAATACGTATGCGGTTTCATTCGAGAGAAGCCTTACCTGTGCAACTCTATCCTTGAGCAATGAGGATCTGAAGATTGTATCGCATCCTCGTACGTACATTCGGTGGAGCACGTCGGGCACTTCGGGCTGTTGACCCATTCGAAGAATTCGTGCTTAAACCAGCGTAGAAGCTCGACCAGGAATAAATCCTTGGCTATCAATTCCCCCTCGAATTGCGAGGAGGCGGCGGCTTCGGCGTTGTCTAACTTCAAGGATCTGCGAAGATAAAAAGAGTGAGTATACACATATGAAGATAAGGTTTTATCATGGGGAAGATAAAGAGCGCATATAGATAGGACTGAATTACTTTTGCAGATCCCTCATCTTCGTCATCGTCGCAATTTCTAATCGCCCGACCGGCACGACACTTTTGGCCTTCCTTTGTAAATTCGGGTCCTCGTAGTGCATGACGCCGCGAAAGTGCCCGACGATTTTGTCGAAGAACGCCTTCTGCGCCGTCGACCTCTTGTCGATGTCGTCGGTTATGGGACTCCCGGTCGCGGTGCACAGCATCCTCGACAAACTCTGGATCTTCAGCAGGGACACGTTTTGCGGTAGGAATATGCGTTCTCCATCCTGTCACATGCAATTGACAGCTTAGCAGAATGCACTTCGGCAAACCGTCCGTAGCGTGCAAATTTAAATGGCAAAAAACTTTATAGTTTGTAAATACTATATTACGTATATTTCATTGGAGGCGTAACCGAGCGAGAGAAATTGCGGGAGAGGATCTGGAGAGCTTAAATCGTGCAATACAGACCTCGACGTAGCCGACGTCGAACAGGCACTCCAAGGCGCCGACGGCCGGCAGAAGCTTCTCGACGACGACCTCGTCGTCGAGGCGCAGCTCGCGGGACCTGTAATTGCTCGGCGACCTCAGCACGTTCCGGCAGATGGTCAGCAACGCTCGTCGCGCTTCGTCCCGCACGTCCTCCGTGTTCTCCTCGAGGGACTTGACGCAACGCTCCAGGCTCTCGTCCATGTCGTCGACGTCGATCCGCGCGCTCGGGCAGCCGGCAATCATCTGTTCGCGAGAGCAGGCGTCGTCATTTTTGCTGACTCCTCTTCGGCGCGTCCGTTCCGCTGGTCGCCTAGGGATATAAGATGAGCTCTCAGCTGTCAGTTCACACGAGTCTCTCTGCCACGCGAGTGCCACGTGCCAGGAAGGAATGAGATAGACACAGGCGCGCGGACTCGAGTGGGAGGAGGAAGGCACGAGGGACACGCGATCAGTGGGGTTTTACCGACAGCAAACGGACGCGCGAGAGCTTGCGACGGACGAGGACGGACCTAGACGGCGTTACTCGTGGAGAAGAGACTCGGATCGTTTCACTCTCTCATTGCTCCGGACTTGCTCCATTAGTCACTCAATGTGTCGCTCGAGTGCTCGGGACGCGGCGCGAAGGGGGAACGACGGTGTCCGCCCACCCGCGGACCGCTGGTGTGGGCTGTCTGTTCCGTGCGTGTGTCTCGCCGTCGGTTCGTATATGGTCACCCGCTAGGGATCGGCGCGCAATCACGCGACTGCATTTCCGAGGTCGCCGCGCGCGCGAGAGAGATGCGCGGTTCCGCTTGACACGAGGGTGCTTTCCGCTAATTTCCTTCGCTTTCTTGTTGCAAAAGCACGCCGCGATTACGCACGCGGCGAGTAATGAGACTGCCGCGCTGGTGTTAGTGTCGGGCTGCACGATGGCTATATTTAGCGTATGACGGCTGGCCGTTTCGGAGCCACCACTCGACTCGATATAGCTCGCCCGCGGCGCGTCGACGCGCCCGTGTGTTTACGGTCTACGGTTCGCGATAACGTCGCGCGAAGATGGAGGATATATTTCAGTGGTGTCGCGAGGGCAACGCTATGCAAGTCCGCGTCTGGCTGGACGACACCGAGCATGACATGAATCAGGGGTAACTACTCCAAGAACTCCTTTTTTGGAAGGGACTCGTCCCCGCCGCGGACGTCACGGTTTCTCTGACTCTATAATTAGGCTCTGGATGAACGATCTGACAATTCCTGTAACGAGTATTCTTTATGAGAAGCATCCCCTGGATATTCCAGGAAGCATAATTAAAAATTTATATCTAATGTTTGAATTGTCAAAATAATTCGATAGAGATATGGACGAAGGTGTTTGTAGCATTTTATCTGCGACACTTTGGACCTTGTTATTTGAGTAACAATTTCAAGAAACGCTGCTCGAATTACCTGCGATACAATAATTTGTATTTTAATGTCTTCTCATTGCGAAACGTTTCGTTAGCCTTGAACATGTTCTGTGTACAGAGACGACCATGGATTCAGTCCGCTTCACTGGTGCTCTAAAGAGGGCCACTCAAAGTTGGCGGAGTTGCTGGTTAGCAGAGGGGCACGCGTTAACGCCACCAACAGAGGGGACGACACGCCGTTGCATCTAGCCTCGGCGCACGGGCACAAAGAGATAGTGCAGTTGGTAATGAGAGAAGGATTTGATCGCTATTTACGTCCGTTAAGATTGCGTATCCATTTGAAGCGTATAACGCGTACAATTTAATTGACAGCTGCTTAGAAATCGTGCCGACGTAAACGTCACAAACGAACATGGGAACACTGCCTTGCACTACGCCTGTTTCTGGGGGGATCAGGCGGTCGCGGAGGAACTGGTCGCGGCCGGCGCTCTCGTGTCCATCGCCAATAAGGACGGCGACACTCCTCTTGATAAAGCCAGAGGCGTCGTCGCCAAGAGACTGCACGGTAACGTAAAAGTTTGTCACATGCCGATGTCAATTCTTCCATCTTTCGCATTCGCACGCTAAACATACATCTTATTCTTTCATCAGATTTGGCAGTGGAGTACGGACAAGACCTGAAGAAGATACAGTTCAAGGATCAGAGCTGGTTAGGCTTGAAGACCAGGAGCCGTAAGTGTTTCTTAAGTCATTTAAAAACAAAAAGGATCGCATGTATCGAAACCTACGTTTTACTTTCTTCATACAATTTTTCCAGGCGACGCGACTCTCTCGCGGCACAAAGGGATCAGTATGGCGGACTTGTCCCTGCACATGCACCTGGCGAGCACGCCGAGCGGCGAGACCTGGCGGGGCCGGTGGCAGAACAACGATATCGTCGCCAAGCTGCTGAACGTCCGCGAGTGTACCGCGCGCATCTCCAGGGACTTCAACGAGGAGTTCCCGAAGCTGCGAATCTTCTCGCACCCGAACGTCCTGCCGGTCCTCGGCTGCGTGAATCAGCCCCCGCAGCTGGCGACCGTCTCCCAGTACATGGCGCGAGGCAGCTTGCATCGGCTTCTGCACGGCGGCACGGGGGTCGTCGTGGACACGGCGCGTGCCCTTCGACTGGCCCTCGACGTCGCCCGAGCTATGGCATTCCTTCACGGTTTGGATCGGCAGAACAGATGCAGATTTCACCTCAACAGCAAGCATATAATGGTGAGTGCTGGACAATCGGTAATCAATACAAGCAGTTAGATGTCCGTAAAAGTGTCTGTAGGCTCGAACGCGCCAAGTCCACATGTTTATCTTACATGTACGTTACACGTTATATTCAATTTCAGATCGACGAGGATCTAACGGCCCGTGTGAACATGGCGGACGCGAAGTTCTCCTTCCAGGAAGTCGGGCGAATTTACGAACCGGCGTGGATGTCGCCGGAGGCTTTGAGCAAGCGTCCGGCGGACATCAATCACGAGGCCAGCGACATGTGGAGCTTCGCGGTTCTTCTGTGGGAGCTGGCGACCAGAGAAGTGCCGTTTGCGGATCTATCGCCTATGGAATGTGGCATGAAGGTGGGCGATATAATGCTTGCATGATCTGTCAATTTAAAAAGAAATTATACACGATACGTTAAAAGATTCGCCCTCTTTCCCTCTGTAACTTTGGCTTTGGATAGAAAAAAATATCGTTTTGTGTAACGATCTTCTTTCAAGTATTAAATTAAAGGACTGATGATTCATTTTAGATCGCCCTGGAAGATTTACGCGTAAGCATCCCGCCGGGCATTTCTCCGCATCTCGCCAAGCTCATACGAATTTGCATGAACGAGGACCCGGGCAAGCGGCCGTCGTTCGACATGGTCGTACCGATCCTCGACAAGATGAAACGCTGAAATATAACTCGACGAAAGTAGAACGGTCAGAAGAAAACAAGTGGGGATACATCCGGATTTAATAGTGCCTAAAGAATCTCTATATATATTTATTAAACTGCCTGAAGAATTGTTATTAACAACGATAGAATATTTTTGTATCACTATATATTCCGCACGTGGACGAATACTGCCTTAAAATACCTAAGCTTTAAACGGACTAATTTCTCTAGCTATTTATATTTATATTTAATACGAATTCTTCGAACGTATTTCGTAGAAGTGCAAAAGTTTACATTCGTAATTCGTGAAACAAGTTTTTTAAATGCGCAACTCGAATTTTATCCATTTGGTGAATCTGACGAAATCACCGGGACTTTTAATATGAAAAAATAGAGTAATAATATTATTTACACACGTCTAGAGAGGATATTTTTTATAAACTGTTTGGCGACATACTTCGCTAGATATATATTGTGAATATTACATATATATTAATTGAAATCAGGATGACAAATAAAACTAAATGTGTAGAACTATAATATCGGACTCGTTTAGATCCGGACGAGTATATGTATATCTTTATTAATAAATATATTTAAATAATGATTATCTCGTGCATGCAAAACTCTCATGTAAGTAATGAATGTAGATATATTAAAACAGTTTTATGAACAATAATATACACAAATATATATATTCGCTGTTACACAGTATATTTTTAATTCATTGCTTTTCCAACAGTTACGAAATAAATATCTCACCACATTTCTGACACATGAAATTCAATTCAAGTCAAACGATTTGCTATTATATAATATATGGCAAGTTCTTATAGCAACGCCTTTGCGTTCGATTGTTTTTTATTCGTTATTGATTCGCGTGCTCTCTTTGTCCATTGAGATATTAAATATATATGTATTTTATATTATCGCACACGCATGCATACACACACATGTCTTTATTGGAGGCTATCAAATGCCTGGAATTATAAACTCACAAGCTGAAAGTATTGAACGTTATGGCATCATTTTTCTACATAAGAACCATATGGTGTAAAAAATATATGTATTATATAAATATTAAATATTATATATTTATTCTTTACACCATGAAAAGAACAATCTCTGGTCTTTCTTCTTTCATTAGCCACGATACAAGAGTCTGGAATGAGATATATTAATTACAGCTACTAATAAATGAAAATGGATTGAAATTTCAAATCATGATCTAAAATGATTTAAAATAATGGATTGACCTTCGTGGGGATGAATGCATTTCTATAAAAGCCAATTCATTTCAATTAAAAAAATATTTTCATCCCATTTTTCCGTTTACTGACTAGCAAAACATATTTATAATTAGCCTGCGTGATTTGATCTTTGGTACACTCTGTATACGTGACATTACATACCAATAAACAATGAATAGACACACGGAGACCTTGGCACGGCAGTCGTGAGTCGCAGTCACGAGCCGTCGCGGCACAGCTGCGTTGCTGCGTATACTCGACATAACCTAGAAATGGCGGCGGTCCGTAAACTCAGCCGGTTCGCGGAAAGGGCGAAGTTTCTGAACAAATGCTACTTCACGAGCCAGACTGGCGTCGTCCGGGAGTCGTTCTGCACGATGGTGCAGCAGCCCCAGAGGACATACGGAGGTCTGGCGAAGCTCGGCCTGATCGGCGCGGCTACCGGCGCCGCGGTGGGTGCGGGTTATGCCTACCACAGGATCAGCGAGGCCCGGAAGAACATCGCCATGGAGGGGACGCAGCTGGACGCTGTGTTGCTCAAGTACAAGCCACCCGTCACTCCGTCCCGGACGGTATCTCGCGACGATCGTTCTCCCGCGTAAAGATCGCGTGTGTGTGTGTGTGTGTCTCGCATTAACGTAATTTCGCGCCCCGTCTTGTTCCAGGTCGCATCCCCGGTGGACTCCACCGGTTTGAAACTCACGTTATTCCAGTATCAGACGTGTCCCTTCTGCTGCAAGGTAAGCGAAGCTCCGGAAATTTCGGGCAACGGAATTTGATGTCTCATCTTCCTTTCCGCGCTTCAATATTTCTTCTCAACGGCGAGAAGTCAAGTCTATCCATTATTAGCGGATTAACGGAAGATGTGCTTGTTGAGCTAATTCGTTAAATTGACATCTGAATGGTATCAATTGCACTTCAGGTTAGAGTATTCCTGGATTATTACGGGATATCTTACGACATTGTGGAGGTGGACCCAGTGCTCCGTAAAGAGATTGGATGGTCCTCGTATAAGAAAGTTCCAATCCTGCTGACCAAAGTGGAAGAGGGCTATCAGCCCTTGAACGACAGTACCATGATAGTGTCGCTTCTCGCCTCCCATCTGCACGATACGTCTCACAAGATTGAGGATTTGGCTAATTATTATCCAAGCGTGGCCATGCACGATGACAATGGCAAATTTAAATACGAGATTATAAACAAGTATTTCCTCATGTTCAATCAGCAGCTGCCAAAGAACAGAACGATGAACGATATTACGTACGTTAAATCTGATACATACGATTTTGATAGTTGATCACATTTTATGCTTTTATATTTTATTGTACTTTTTTTTTTTTTTTTTAGCGAGGAACGCAATTGGAGGAAATGGACAGACGAGGTGTTCGTCCACACTCTTTCGCCGAACGTCTACAGAACACTCGACGAGTCCTACAAGACATTCAATTGGTTCTCGGAAGTGAGTGAATCTATGAAGAGCGCTTTAAAAGTTACACGAGGAAACGAATTTCTACAAATGGTATTAAAAAATTTTCAATCTAGGTCGGCAGATGGGAGGAGTACTTCCCAGCGTGGGAGCGAATGTTAATAGTGAACGTGGGCGCGACGGCGATGTGGTTGATAGGCAAGCGACTTAAGAAGAGGCACCGTCTGAAGGACGACGTGCGACAGTCGTTGTACGACGAGGCGAATCACTGGCTGCGCGCGATCAAGGCGCGCGGCACCACGTTCATGGGCGGCGGCAAGCCCGACCTGTCCGATCTCGCGATGTACGGCATCCTGAAGAGCATCGAGGGCTGCAACGCCTTCCAGGACTTACTGACCCACACGAACATCGGCGTCTGGTACAACGCCGTGAAGGAGCAGGTCGACGCACATTCTGGTAGCGCGAATTTGAATAGATAATACATTCGCGCGTTCGCCCCGTGTGTATAGAATTATTTATTTACATAATAAATCGTACTTATATTAACGAAACGGTAAGACAATATCGCTCCCTCCGTCAGAGAAAATTCGTGTGTAATGTATATATGCGTAACGCAGGGTGTTAAACTGCACACGGCAGCTGACGAAACATGAGCGCGAAGCCTTTATTTTGGGCCTCTTGCATCTCATCGCCGTTCGTAACGACGTAAAGTATGAACGGCTTCAAGTCCGCTAGAAATTCAGTGAAAAAGAATTACTTAGTACCTCTATAATACGCGACGTGTTATTAGGATTACCTACAAGTTTTAGTTATAAATCCATTTCCGCAAAATCTGTCTGTATTGACGGAAACACCGGCCTCCCGCGGATCGGGTATGATCACGAAATCGTTGGTGCAACTAGCTCCGGATTCTGCCACCAAGTTTGTGCCTGTTGCAATGCACATAGCAATTAAACGGCAAGGTAGTCTGCGGTCGAGTTTTACAAAGTATAAATATTCGACGTGCAGTACAATAATTTTCGGTTTGTAGAGGAAATTTTCAAAGATAAGATTAAACGACCGATCTACCTATTATGTCCAAATCGAACGATCCCGTGTCTCCGGAAACGGAAAAGGAGAATCTGTCGACTTGCGACCACTCGATGTTGCAGTAACCCAAAGCCATCCTGACGCACACGCCGTAACGGTGATTCACCATCTGTCGCGTTCCAATCTGAGGAGCTGAAAAACAATTTTTTAGACCGTTCACATTAATATTTCGCCGTTTGACTGATTTCGTACCTCGAACGTTTTCCGACGTGCCGAAGTTGAAGCTCATCACGGTGCCGGAGACAGTCTTGTAGTATTGTAAGCATCCGTTAGGCGCTAAAACATAGACGGAAGGACAGTCTTTGCAAATATCTCAGACGATAAAAAAAAAAACATTCGCGTACCTCTGCACACAGAATCACACGCTATTTGCTGAATCCTTATATTCCAGCGTCGATCGAATGCGTAATCCGCGTTGGTGTCGACGGATATCGTGATTGGCGTTGCTCCGTTGAAGTCAACGTACACTGAAACGAGTCTCATTAATCTACCTTCTTGTAATAAAAATTTGCAACTTGTATGAAAATGTACACAAACTGTCGTTTTACCGTGCTGATTATTGTTCTCCCCGCATATTCGCGGCACCCTGGACGAGCCTCCCGATACGAGAAACACGTCCAAATCGCAAAATCCAGTTGAATTAGGCTGGGCCCAGGTGGCCTCCAGAAAGTCGAGTCGCAACTGCAAACGTGGAAGACGTCAAGGTCGCGGACTTACCGGAATTAACGCACGACGTGCGCGTTACCTGACATATGTTGGAATTACAGCGCTGCACCGTGATCGTACATCGCTCTCCACCTCGATAAGTGATGGGATACCTCGGGCTTACGAAGTACGTGTTGTTCATGTTAGTGGTGGAGCCGCAAGACTTTTGAACTGTCGCGACATTAATTTATTTTATAATAAACGGCAATTAAATTATTTGTAATTTTTTAATTGTTATTTTACGATATTTCCATGTATGCTCACACACGCAACAAGTGCCCAATCCGTTAGCGCACGGTCCCGACGGGTTGCCTCCGTAATTAACGCACTCCCGTCTCGTGAAGCACGTGCCATTAAGTTGATCGATGCTCGACAGGCACTCGGAGTTGGCGAAACGCACGACGCTGAATAACGGGAAGACTGAGCGGGAGAGATACATCATGCCGTTTGAAATGATTTATCGGATATATATACTGATTACGCGTTAAATAACTTACACCTTCCCTGACGACTGGAAAGAGAGTTAAACGATTTGTTCTCGAAGGCATTATCTCTCAAGGATTGATTCAAATTGATAGTCCGAACGCTTGTGACAGACACGAGAGTAAAGCAACCGACTAACAGTGCGCTGATCATGTCTGGAGGTGCGAGACTGATCCCGAGAATGGTACTCTCCGGCTCGCCGGGAATGCCGGTAACGGAACGTGTGTGCGCAAATGATCACCGCAATTAGCACGTAGCCGAACCCTCGGGTTTACTGTTCCTTTAACTGTACGATGCCTGTGTGAGGTACTTTTGTTTTATTTATCCGAATAATACAATCGTGACGGTAACGCAAATATAAAAAAAAATAACGTAATTGCAAAAGGTCTCGCGTATAAAAAACAAGTCGTATGTATTATTGCTACAACGGTGCTGTACAAGATCTGACCCTAAATAGAAGGATTAAAAACGTTTCTAAAACATTTGTCATTTCGCGCGATTAAAACGTTTCTCAAATATTTTCAACAGTTCGATATATATGCACGTTTGATCTATAACAAGTTTCTTATTTCACATTATCTCAAGCGGTCACGTTCGGCGTCCGACAGAACGGGCAGTGGCCGTGTCGTAACAACGCCAGTTCGTAGTCATCCGAATGAAATAGCTGAAACATTATAAAACTCATACAAAACAAAATTCTTTTAAAGCTTGATCTTTTAAAATAGCTTTGTGCTCGCAACTCACCTTTAAACAACACTTGCACAAGCTGATCTGGAGATCGGACAAAAGATTCCTAAAGTATCGAGTCTTAAAGGGCTTAGGCCACTTAATAATTATCACGGTGGACGGATCCATACTTTTCAACACCCCTCTTCCGACTGTCACCATAGAATTATTGGATTTTTCCTACGACAGGCACATATCATTTTTTTTTAATATAGAAAGAACGCTTCGTGCGATCGTACATTCGGTGTTAAAATTATACCTCGTATCTCATTAAACGGGCGGTGAAGAGGTCGGCGTCGTTGGAAGTTACGGTAAATTGATCGCTAACTGCGAGATCGTCGGAGGAAGGTAATGGCTCCTCTATCAGTTTCTCCGCTTCCTCATCCGTGATGTCGTCCTCCAATTCGAACTCGACTAACGGCAGGATTTCTGTAAACGAATATTGGCTTCATAGTCAGCTGCTTTGAAAATTCTAACGAAGACTACAAGAATTTTAGAAAAAGCTGAACTTTTACAGATAAATCCGTTGCTTACCGAACATAACGAAGGAATATTGAAACTTTAAACCGCATTGCGTGCAATTGCTACCGGAGACGTTATTCGTCGGCAATAACGGATTAAATGTGGAGCATTTGTAGCAGAGGGGCAACAATTCTTCCGGATCGCGATACGGATAGGATCTGGCGATTAGAGTCGACGTCTCTATTTGCGCCAGGAGATTCGCGGGGACCTTCATCGAGCGTAGCTGGTCCAACAGTTGCATAACCAGCTTGTTGGCTCCCAGTATCCGCGCTTGTTTCATCAGGCTGTACATTATCGTTATCTTCGAGATGCCGTCTAGTCGCACGTTTTGCGTCTTCATGAGCAAATACCTCGAAATGTTGAATAACGCCTCCGGCATCAGGGACGTAAAGGGTTCCTCCTAGAATACGTAACAATGTTACGAAGGAAGAGTACAACGGGTTGCATTTGATGTACGTATTACGATCGTACCAGGTACTTGTACACTTCGTGATACGCATAGTAGACGTCCGCTTTGTCGGAATAATTGAGAAACATCATTTTTATCTCTTCCATGCTCTTCGACAAATCCAGACTCAACTGCGACAGCAGCCAGTAAAAGTAGGAGGCGTCGCGAAACCTCTTCTCTATCACAGCGTTGTCAGCCAGCATCGTGAGTACGAGTATGGATTCTTCTGGCTGTCCTGCCATTTGGAATGCTGCAACAGACGTTAAATGTTAAATATCTCGACGCTGTGCATGCCCGTTCGTTCGCGATGTGACGCGCGATCCCACGTACCTTCCTGAGCCTCGGAAAATCGTCCGGTCTCCGCCAACCATCGCGCATACGGCCCGTATACCCGCGACTTCAACTTCGGATTTCTCTCCGCGAGTTCGAAGGCCTCGGGCCACGCTTGCGCGTCCACGAGCACGTCGGCAACGTCAGGATCGTCGCCCAGCCGGCTGAAGATCTCCGCCGCGCCGTGCGAAGCACCCAGTTGCTTGAGCTTCTTGGCGATCATGGACAGATTGTCCCTGTCCGCCTTATCCAATTGTCTGCCCACTTTGATCAGCATGTCGATCCAACCGTACTCGGCGATAATACTGATGGCACGATCGATGTCCCCCGCGGAGAGGAACATCTCGGCCGCGGCGCGCGGCTCGCCCAAGCTCTTTGCCCATTCCGCTCGCCGTCGCAACAATACTGTACGATCCTGAGAAGACGAAAAGTGAATTAAATTCGATGTCTAATAAATATTACTAGATAGTCACGTATTCTATTAGTATTCATCGCGCTATTTTACTTTATTATACTTCTTACTAATCTTGAAATGTTGATTATAAACGGACCTGCGTGTTGCCGGAGGCGATAAATTCCTGTGCGATGTCGAACATCCGTAGGTCGGAATACATGTCCAGGGCGTACTGCTGCAGACCGGCTTTCTGATAGAGCTTCGCCGCGTCGCGGAGCCTCCCCATGGCGGCCGCGGCGGTAGCCATGCAGGCCTCCCGTCCCCATTCGCCCGACTTCAATTTCTCCTCCACCTCGGACACGATTTCTATATAACGCAGCTTCTTTACTCGCGCGAACGCCGAGTACGCGATGTTCAGTTCCAGATTGTCCAGACACGCCGTCCCCAAAGCGAGCCAGTCCGATTCGGCCACGCCCAGGCACGCTATGTCATAAGCGTGGTTGTACAATCCGATGTCTATATACTGGTACATGAACAACGACAACGGCACCTGAAAATATCGAGGTGTAAATAAAACAGCATTCCGCTGTTTCGCATCGCGAGCATGAGCATTACCTCCAGCGTCATGATGGACGAGCCGTTCAAGCAGTACAGCTTCGAGCCGTTGTGTCCCACGACGAAACCGGAGAACTTCTGCCTGTACTCGGAGAAGTTCGCGACCTTTATCGCGAGGTAGTTGTTGCCTGCGAAGCACATGATGTCCTCGAAGGCGATGTTGAACGCGACGCTGTTGACATTCTGGAACTCCTGCAGCTTCTCGCCGGTGCACAGATCGAAGACGGACAGGACACCGGCTTCGCTGACCACCGCCATTTTCTCCTTCAAGGAGCTGATGTCCAGACACCTCACGGCGTCGTCGATCTTCGCGACGTGCGCCGGAAACGGATTGTCGAGATATATCTTCATTACGTGTCCGCTCTTCAGGCCTAAGATCATCAAACTTCGAATTTGTTACAGCTGTCGATTTATTATAATGAGACAATAAATAAATCTCTATCGAAGTTTACCAGCTATCAGACATTCCTGGCCGGCGGGACCGCCCGCCACTTTGATGTACGTGATAAGTCCATCGAGTATCCATTCTCTCTCTATTATCCCGGCGAACGAGAGACTCTGCAGACGTCTTTCCAGGCACAAAACCAAGTGGTTCGACGTGACAACCAACAGATTGCAGTTCAACGTCTGATTAAGCTTGTCTCGTATCCTGTAATGCATCGCGTCGCCGGCGCCGGACGGCTCGTAAATGATCACGCGCTCGGGTAATTGCACAGCTAGTCTGTTCCGGTACACCGCGATGCGGCATACCTGAAATAGAACACGTGCATCTGAATGTAATAACATCGTACCTTTCATTTTAAAGTCATTTAATCATTTTAGACATTTCAGCAATATCGATACTCACCAGATCTTTGCATTTGATTCGAACTTTCTGATTCGTGATCAAATGCTGGATTATCACGTCGGTCATGTTCTCCCTGTACGCGTATCTATCGCCGTAGAGACCGTGCACGATGTTCCAGGACAGTTGTAGATACGTTATCGTTCCGTCTTGGGTACCGAGTGCCTGCATGTAATCGCTAAATGGCGGATCACTAAGGCGAGCGGTGCCGTAAACAATATTATAATAACTCACAACGTGTGTGGCACTCGGATGAACGGCACAGCTCCATACCCACGAGGAGAAGGTACCGCCTACATTAACCAGCTGTATGCCGTCGTGCGTCATCAACAGGCATTGCTTATTACTGCCGCAAACGAGAAGATACTGGCCCTCCGGGAAGTGAGTGACTCTAAGCGGTATAAAACTGAACGATCTCTCCCTTCTGACAGCTTCCCCGCCGATGGTGTAAAACGAGATGACTCCGTTCCATTCAGCAATGCAGAGAACATCCGTAGCGTCGTCCCTAATATCAATAAAACGCTTCTTATATTTCTCCTCTTAATTATATATAACAATTATATTTCTAATTTGTAGAATTGTAGGTACTGTAAAGGATTCCACGATAAACTCCAAATTGGTACTCCGATTTGCCGTTCAATGCGCGTTTTTTCCTCACCATTCTGAAAATATAAACGTCAACGTTAGATACAGAACAACGTAAAGACACATGTTATACATACGGATTTTACTAAATGTATTTAGGAAAAAATATTTAAAAATGTACAATTTTGAATATATTATATATAATTAAAAGGATTATATGGACGAGATACGAGTAACGTACTTTGTTCCTTATGGATACATATCCAGTTGCAAGACCAAGGGCCAAGTACTGTCCGTCCCTTGTCCACGCACAGCAATTGACTCTGCCGCCCGACTTGTGCTTCTGCACAGCCTTCTGCTCCGCGGACCAAAAGGCGATGTCCGAGAGCGAACAGCTGAGAAGCTGATGCGAGACGGGATTGAAATGCATCGACTGTACAGCTTCATTGTGCCTGAGCAGAGAAAAATTCTAAGATACATAGAGTTTCATATATTTATTAGAATTCTATAACTTCTAAATACGCGCGACTTACGAATATTTTAATATCCCTTCCAGCTTAGAGGTCCAGATGATGACACTTTTGTCCGCACCTCCCGACGCAAACTTCTTGCCGTCCCTCGCATAGCAGACACAATATACCGTATCTTTATGCCCTACAGATATGAAATATGACAAATTATATTGGAGAATTACGGAATATGTTTTAGTACCGTCGAAGTCCTTAATTAGATAATCGCCTTTTAATGACTGAATCAAAGCACCATCGCTGGTCTCGTAGACAAGGACCTGATTGCCAGAGGCAACGACCAATTGCGAACCGTCCGGATTGAAGCAAAGATCATATATACTGAAACATCACTTTGTATCAATGAACAGTAATGAGAGAAAAATGAGAGAGTAAAGAATAAGGATGTCGATAAACGTTGCATCATGCTAAAAAAAAAAAAAACAGCGCATGCTTAATAATTGACAGTTTAAACCTTTGCAAAACAGACAGTAAAAAATATATAATCTGAAGCGTATTTTTCATACACATGTGACAAACGAATTACACAATTAATATCGTTCTTATTAATTAATAATTAATTTTTATTCAACTGCTTATCAAGGCTTAATAAAGCAGCTTGCGCTTCATGAATTGTGTTAACAAAATCCTCGGTATCCTTACTCCTCACGTTCTCACTCGGCGTATTTACAAGGAGCAATTTAATCGCTGAGAGACAACTATCGATCCACTTGATCTTTACCATTGATCTGTCTTTTCTTGCACCTTGTCGACCCATGCTGGATGTGCTCTCATTGTGTCACATTCAGCACAGACTGGCTAATATTGTTGGCTCAACAATGTCATTCCGTGTGTGACAGATCCTCTGTTTGGCGTTCGCGCAGGACGCACAGTCGCCATAGTAACCGCAACGGGCGGACGTAATGTGGGTAATTCCTACTCAAGGAACACCGCTATATCGACGGGATACCGCTAAAGACGATCGCTCGAGGAGCTCATTCAATAAATAAGCTTATATAGTCTTCGAACTTTATTCATTTTTTTCCGTCATTAAATTACATGAATTTTTAATCGTATTTTTACGTTATTTTTTATCGGGCATTTTTACGCAATTGTATATTCTGTGGCGTGAAAATCGAATATTAATTAATTTTCACGTAACGTACAGTCGATATATACGTGAAACAAAGTCGAGGATCGGTGGATGTGTTACCCGCCGAAAGTATTCGTCGGTATATAGTGCAGCTTTGTGCCACGTAGAGGCGTGCCAGTAGACGAGTGCCATTTAAAACGCGGGCACGGTTACTCGAGGTTTCTCTCTCTCGTTCTCGCACTATCAGATGTGACACAGGTCACACAGGCGCAAAGCAAGAAGATCGAGTTGCTCCGTGCTTGACGGTACGTGGCGTCAATCTGTTGCCCATGGACTGTTGCCGAGGATACCGGGCGAAGTGTTTCGAGTATTGTTATAATTAAAAATTGTGCCGAGCGTCTCTCGTATACTAGTGAAAAACAAAAGCGCGAAAATGAGTAATTCAACTATTTCGGATCAATCGCTGATGGACAAGTCGATGCGGAGTGTCTTTGGTGAGTAATTCAACGTGCGAGCTACGATGCCGGCGATGCGGCTTTTTGCAGTTTCGTGCCAATGTTAACACCACGTTTCCTATTTTGCAGTCGGGAATATCCCGTACGAGGCTACGGAGGAGAACTTGAAGGATATCTTCAGCGAGGTTGGGCCGGTGCTCTCGTTCAAGTGAGTCAGTCGGTTTTCCGTTGATCGCCTCAGTTAATCAATTGTATTGAATATTGAACCATTTATTAAAATTATTCCCTTCGAATCTTTCAATGTATCTTTGACTTTTCATACAAGTCTTGTAAAAATTTTGACAGCCAATTTTTTAATAGTAGTGCTGTAAGAAAATAATTTGACTCCTTCAACATTGAATTATTGTCTCTAGAATATAAATTCTTTGCAATAACAATATCACGGCATTGCTGCAATAGTGTTATATCTCAAAAAATGACAATTTTGAGTTATTCATTGGAAAAGTGGATTTTGGCGTGTACTTTTATCTGGTGATGAGTAACTCAAAATTGTCAATTTTCGAGATATGACACTATTGCAGCAATGTCGCGATATGTAGAATATAACTTTCTAATATATATATAGTGTTCATTTGTGTTATTAATTTTTTTATTAAAAACATAACCTCTAAATTTTATGTCTCCTGATGTTTACTCTAGATTAAGGATGCGCAACTAAATTTTTTGGCGGATCAAATTTGAGACTGTATCGCGGGTCGCAATAGTTAAATGTAGAACTTATATATATATATATATTTTTACCTTTGCGTTACATTGCCACTTTTTTTTACAGAAAAGAATTTTTTTTCGTAAGTTTTCCATTCGAAAAAATGCTCCAATAAGAAAATTCATAAACGTAAACAAACAATTCGGCGTGATGCGCTAATAATTCAATTCGTTTTTCGTTTTTTTCTGTGGGTCAAGCTTGAAAAGCTTCGTGGGCCATCAGTTGCGTATTCCTGCTTTAACCTTTCTACTATAAAGTTGACATTTGTATTAATTTGCATATTCAATTGCTGTCAAACAGATTAGTATTTGATCGTGAGACAGGCAAACCCAAGGGATATGGCTTCTGCGAGTACAAAGATCAAGAGACAGCCCTGAGTGCTATGAGAAACCTGAATGGATATGAGATCGGTGGACGAACGTTGCGCGTGGACAATGCCTGCACGGAGAAGAGTCGTATGGAGATGCAGAGCCTCCTGCAGGGCCAGAACACGGAGAATCCCTACGGCGAGGCCGTTCAGTCGGACAAGGCTCCGGAGGCGATAAGCAAAGCCGTGGCGTCCCTGCCACCGGAGCAGATGTTCGAGCTGATGAAACAGATGAAACTCTGCGTGCAAAACAATCCGAACGAGGCGCGTCAAATGCTGCTGCAGAATCCACAGCTGGCGTACGCTCTGCTCCAGGCGCAGGTGGTCATGCGGATAGTGGATCCGCACACAGCCGTCAGTATGTTGCACAAGGCCAATCCTATCCCGGGGGTGCTGACGCCGTCGGACAAACCGATCCAGCAGGTACAGCCGCGAATCGAGGAGCCGTGGGCGCCGCGACCACCACCCGTCAACGCCCCAGCGCCCATCTTCGCCGGTACGATACAAGAGTCTGTCTCCGTCACGATTTTCATTGTAATTATTAGTCACGTAGAATTACGTTAAAATTCTGAAATCTATTCACCGATTTTCCGTAAAGTTGATCCCCATTCGGGCACGGAAAATGAGCGAATTATTAATGAATTAATTCGACATGCCTTTATTCAACTTGTTATTTCCCACGTTTTACGTGAATCGTGAAACGTCTCCTCACCAATCAGATGGACAGGGAAATATGAAATTTAAAATTCACTCCGTAAAAACAGGTCAGGACGTAGATCTCCGACTGGAGAGACAGATAGATCCATATATAGCTAGGAAGGATCAAGATTTGAGAGGATCACTGGACAAGGAATTAAAATTAAAAATTGAATCCGTAAAAACAGGTCAGGACGTAGATCTACGACTAGACAGGCAGATAGATCCGCGTGTAGCTAGGATGGATCAAGATTTGAGAGGATCGCCGCAAACGCAGCCCGCGCCGGTCAGCGCGCCAACGGTGTTGCCGGCCACCGCCGATCCGAGGGGGGCAAATGCGTTTAATATCGCGGACAAGTAAGTGCACCGCAACCCGTTGGATCGACAGATTCGATTGTAGACTGCGTAATTAAAAAGAGCTCTTTTTTGCAGCATTCTTCCTGTGGAAGGAATTGAGAGGTCTTAGATACATACACATATATAATTGTCTTAAATAGATTTAATCGTTGATTCTTATACTAAATCGACTTTACTTTCAGCTTCTACCGCGACCCGAGATCCGACAGATTCAGCAGAGATTCGAGGGATTCCAGAATGCCCATCGATCCTAGGATTACCAAATCTAATCGTATGTCATCCTTTCACTTTTTACAGATGTGATTATGTATGATTATATAAGCTATTATATGTCGGCTTAGTCACGTCCAAGTTTACCAAGAATTGTTTTTTGACGGATCCCGAATGTTAATGGACTTTCTTGTAAAACTTTCAGCGACTCCCGTGGCGCCGCCGATTGTTCCGAGACCGGTTGCTGCACCGATTGTGCCGGCATCAAGCGCTGTAACTAGCAACACGACCGGCGGCTCCGCTGCCGCTGCGCTTTCGCAGCCCGCGAGTTCTGCAACCACGAGGCTCGTGGGAATGTCTTCAACGGGAAATATTCCCAGCGGCGCGTCCGATCAGGAAAAGGTATGTTACAGTAAGATATTTCCACCGACAAGATCGTCGCACGTTTATCATAGTTTCTACTGTATATTGCCTTTATTTGAAACTGCTTACAAAAAATAATCATTTCGAACAAAATATAATATCACATAATATGATCGTGATTCACGTTTTAAAAATAAAATTTAAGAACAAAAATATAAGATTATACGCATATAAAGAAGCTTTGCTGATTTCAATGAATAATCTCAACGAATTTGTCATTAAAGGATGATACGTAAAATGGAATAATTTTGGCCTAAAATGTTAACACACGTAATCTTACGTTTTTTGGATCGCTGAATGCAATGCACTTTCATCCGTATAAATCCGTGGGAAAGTGATCAAAATTCACATTAAAAAAAGTCATTTTCAGTTAGTGACAATTTTGTTCCTATTATTTAATTATTTGTATTATAATTTTATAACTTTTTTTCACTGAAAACCCCATAAAATACTTGAAAATAAAACGACGATTCATCATTCCCCGTTCGTGAGGCAATTTTGCACCCATGGCGATTCTTATAGCGATCGCGGTGTCCAACAGAACAGGAACCACCGGTGCGCTTGCCACCTGTATGTTTTCTTGTTGCAGCGTCTGCATGGCTTCATGATGTACCTGCTTCAAGTCTCGCCTTGAGAAGCTTCAAATTATTTCTTTATTAATTTTTTTTTACCAGTTTTCTTTTAATTGATTACTTTTTCTCTTTGTTTTGACAGCTTCTTCAGTGTTTACATATCTTCGAGGTTGTTGTAACTCGCAAATAATTAAATAACAGACAGAATTGTTACTAACTGAATTACTATTAAAAATGAGCCCTTTAACGGAGCCCTTTAACTTCTATCATTTTCCCACGGGTTTAGATGGATAAAAATGCATCGTATTTGGCGACCTAAAAAACGTAAAATTACGTGTGTAACATTTAGATCAAATCGATTGTACCAATCATCCTTTACATGTGGTACTCTTTATCTCGAGTATACATAACGTAAACAAAAAATATATAACGTAAAAAAAATATATATCAAGTATATATCAAGTATTTATTAAAAAATTGTAATAAATGTTTTTTTGCAGGCGGCCTTGATAATGCAAGTGTTGCAATTATCGGACGAGCAAATTGCAATGCTTCCACCTGAGCAGAGGCAAAGTATTCTAGTGCTAAAGGAACAGATTGCAAAAAGTACACAGCGTTAGCGTGACAGACAACGCGTAAGGTGATATCTCTGAACTTTATGCAATAGCAAAAAGTGATGTACGCTGTATTTCTACAAAATAAGATTTTACAAGAGCTTCTTTTTCTCTCTTTCTCTCACTTTCTAACATATCTCAATTCTTATTTATACGTACAAAAATAAACTATCCAATTACGTATTCTTTCGCGACTTAAACATCTAAATGTCGTACGAAATAAATATATATGACTTAGCTAAAAAAAAAAAAGTTAGGAATAGCTGTTGCTGATCCTCAGTCTTTCCTGGATTCTCTAAACTGATATAAACCTTCTTCGATTAAGTCAGCGTAAAAAAGTTTCTTGCATGTTTTGTCCTTGTATATTTCGACCACCAAATTACTTCCCTCGTTAATCTCCTGTGACGATTAACGTTAATTATTCATTGAGCTTTAATAAATGAATTCTAAACGGGCTTACCTTAATTCGGGCCACAACTGCTTGATTGTATATTTTATCTAATTTCAACGCTAGCAAATCGATGTCGTCAGAGACGAAGTCCAGTCCCCAAAATGTGCATTTGATAGCCATGGCGGGCAATTCGAGCCATTCTCGCTTCGGTACACGTAAATCGTACCTAGAATATTTTTTTAGTATCATTACGTAAGTGACATGATCGTACAATTCAATTGATGAAAAAAATCGACATTAATATATCTCACTTACTTGGAGAGCGTGTCCAATTTCATGTATTGATGATTACCATAATCGACGTAATACAGTGAGACCTTTATGTACTGACTATTTGGAATTACTTCACTATTCACGATGATGCACCTATACCACATACCGTCAACAAACTTCGCGACGCATGGAGTATCTAAGAAAAATTATAAAATGAGTATTGTATTGACAATAATATTTCATTAAACGTTCAATTAAATCATGCGTAGCTTATCTAATTAAAAATAATTAAGAAATTACTTTTCGCGAAGGATTCAACTAACGGTTGATTAAAACAATCAACTTGCATTTCTGACATCATGGTCTCGAACTGCAGATAATACTGGTGAAGCTCCTAAGAGACGAATAATATAAATTAGACTGACGGCTCTTTGTATGTGTCAATGTACCGATATCGTATTTAATAATAAATCGCGTATGCCTACATTAGAGAATATATGGTCCTTGTTCTCTGCCAGCTGGGCGAACGAGGTGACCGGGTCTTTGTTGCAACACAATATTATTTCGATGTACTTCGTCTTCGGTGGAATGATCAACCGTTTGTACGATAGCTCGATCAAATAATTTTCTTCCTCCTCGAACAGCTGCGGCGTTGAAGCGCCACGAGGCACATTCGAAATGTTCGTGTCTATCGATGGTAGGCTTTCGGTATCAGATGTCTCCGTAATCTCTATTTTATCAAGCAACTCCGTCTTCGAAATTTCCACTAAATTACTGGTCAGAGTCTCGTTTAATGTAGTATCCTGCACCTCCGACGAAGCTCTCTCGGAAGTACCAGCTGCGTACAGCGACTTTTCGTCGCTTATTATGTCTTCGACAATAACATCCCTGGTGGAGTCCAAGGTTTTCGAATCTTCGTCCTCCGAATCATTCCACTTATCTTCGACCTTAATATCCATCTCCATGTGAATGCGAAGGTATTTCAGGAGTTCGCATTTAAACGGCCGCGATAATGTTATGGACACCTACAGGTAAAACAAGCATGACGTTATTGCATGCGTAACATTATTATGAGATTACCAATAAAAGAATCGGAAACTTCTAGACTAGAGGCTGTGATTCATATTCGTAAATTACTACTGACGTGAACGCAACTTACAATTAAATGTGTGAGTTGACGTTGTAAAACGGACACCTTGCATTCGTGGTCAACGAGAAGCGCGTGTATGCGGTCTAAATCGTGTAACATCCATTTACCATTCGGGGATGACTGCACAAACACGTAAAGAGATTAATTACAAACGCAATCAATTGAAATTATACGATAAATTAGCATTGCCAAAATCCTGTTACCGGTCTTAGCCCGCTGACGACGCATTTTGTGCACTGAATAGGAATGTGTGCCAATCGAATGCAATCCGTGACATGCTGTACCTCGCAGTCTTCCTCATTGCCGTAATCGACAAATTCCACCTGGATGCAGAGATACACGATTAAGAAAAATGGTGATGCAGAAAATAATGGTTGAAAATAATAGATTATTTCTTACCTTCAATGTATTTCCTGAATTTTGGACAACTCTACCTCTGTACCACTTTCGATCATGATGATATCGAGCGATACACATTTCTCCTTCCTTCCACTGCTTATCCTTATTTGGTTTAAAATTCTTATAATGGAGTTGCAATTCGGTCTCTATATAGTGCAGTAAATCGGCATCTAAAGAAAAGCGAAACGATAAGCGACATAGTTTTCGAAGAGATAAAACTGTTATTCGTATTTGCAATAATATAAATGATGCAGGCAATAGATATAAGTACAAATCAATGTGATATTTCATGCAAGATTAGAAAGGAGCTCTATGTAAATTGCTATATAGTACAACCAAGGCAACGTACTGTGTTTCTTAGAATGCAAGTACACGGCGGATTTGTTATCCACATATGTCGGTATAGCGTGAAAGACTTCTTCCGTTATTTCCATCGGTGGCAACCAGTTTGAAAGTTTCACTGCACCCTTACGATTTGTCGAATTGCAATCTTTGTCGGTGTTCAAATCTAAAATATTTCGACTGTCAATAGTAGAATTGCAAATCGACACCTCACTCTTATGCGATACTATCGTCTCATCCATATCAGTCACGTCCAGTTCTTTGAGGAACCATTCGACTGATTCATTGTCCGACTTAACACAATAACTACTCTCCAACTGCTGCTTAAATTCTGCAGCGAGAATCGAGCTTGTTTTCGCAAAGTAGCTGTTGAGGTTTAAAAATTATGATTGACAATTAAAAATATGATGGATATCGCATAAAACTCAAATTCCTTATATGCAAGTGAAATATACTTGTAATTAATTAAATTAATTAATTAAATTTAATGTCTTACTTCTTAATGGGTAAGGCGACACCCTTTTCCACCAACATTCGGTTGATAGAATTTATTTCCACTTTAGTCGGCGCGAGCGGTCCCGGTATTTTAAATTGTCTTACCCAAAGCTCGATGGATATCACGTCATCGCAAACTTTTTCCTGTACCTTAACATACACGAGTAATTACATTTTTATATTCGTAATCAACTTTATTACATTTGCAATTGCAATTGCTATTATTTTCACATAACTTTCATGAAGTAGTCTCTAAAGACATTTTAGACAATCCTATAATTTGCATTAGAATTCAGGCTAGAATTGTATTTATACTCTAATAATTGAGATAAAAAATTGAGATGAAAATCATGTCAAAATACATGGTACAAAATTACAAATGAAATTATCGTTTAAAGTGGGCCTTTAACGAATCGCAATTCATCAAACTCATGGATTAGCGTAAAAGAAAAGAGATTTCTTACCGGCTTAGTGATGTAAAATTTGCAATGCGCATTGTCTTGTATAATCTCGGATAGCGTGTCACAGGATAATAACGGCCAAGTGGATGATCCGCCGCACGGCAAAATACCGGCCAGCTTCACCTTAAAGCAGAATGTCTTTGCCTTTGCGAATTTCCGACGGAGAGATTGTATGTTCTTCTGCATCACCGTCTCCTCGATGCCCATGTCGTAGAAATAGACCAGCACATCCTTCGGAGAATTTATCTTCAATATCTTCGCGCGGAAGTAGGACTTGTCCTTCGGCGAATACACGGCGCACAAGGCGCCTTCGCTCCAAATTTCGCGCCTCTCGGAGATATGGGAGTCGTAGAACGTTTGCATATCCGATATCATTTTCGCATTCGATTGTTCGTGTTCCACCTGCGCGACGTAAATGCAGTCCGGTGTGATCACCCGTTGAATACGCACTTCCACCTTGCACGGATCTTGATCTGTAGCCGTCTCTTCCTTCACCGATTTATTATCCTCCGTCTCATCGTACGAGACACTTAGGTCTCTGACAGTATTGACGGATTTCTCCAATTGTGAGAAAGTAGTATTTGCACTACTAGGCATTTCTAATTTCTTTTTAGGCCATGTGTTCTTAAATTTTGTGCTACATTGGAGAAAGGAGAGAGACCAGTAATCATGAAAAAACCAAGTATCTCGAATAAAAAGTCAAGTTTTGGGCGAAAAATTTCACGTGACACTTAGTACTTACCAGTAAAAATCACTGACAACACCTAGCATTTTTAATTGCCGGCTGATGTCGATGTTATCGCAGTACATACAACTCATGTATTTGTCCTCCATTTTTTTTCGAGGATGCACCAGGATAAATTTTGCGTTATTGAAAATATTCAGCAAAGATGATTTAGCTTCCGATCTCCATGTTCCATCGGCCTCACACGTTACATACATTAACGATATCCTTATGGCCTGTATCACAAACGAGAGAAAACGATTAGCCTATACTATTCTGTATATAAAAATTATCTATAAAAAAAAAGATTGACTTACTTGCGCCTTCATAAACATGATATACTCATTTGGAATCGCTCGTAATGTGTCGCGGTCTTGAGTCGAAGTACATCCCCAGTCCACGCAAAACACTTTGACTTGATTTTCATTAATTATTTCAGTAATCTCGCCGCGATGCCAGATATCGTCGTCTAATTGTATAGCGCATGGCAAACCTATAATAAATTTAAATTAATAAACGATAAGTTTAAGTCAAAACTTCTAAAAGAAGTATTTGAAAATTGTCTATTAGATATGTTACAATTGTTTTATTTTTTATATGCAGAAAATAATATTTTTTTTTTCTAACACTCCGAATTTTTGACAAATTCTGTTTAATTTACTTCAGTTGTAAGTAAAGAGATAATTAAGGGGACATTTTTTTAAAACTAATTTTTTAAATCATCATGACATCAAACATTATTAAAAAATAATAGTATTAATGAAATTCACGGCTGTGTAATTAGCTAGAAAATAATGATTTCGCTAATCAAAAATATCTCTGATTACAGGACCAACCTTTCTGTGGTGTATCAATAATTTTTATCGAAGTCTCCTTTTTGTAATACTCATTTAAATCGTCTCTTAATTCTAAAATCTTATTTTTTCGCGCAGCCTGCAAAGATTCACAAAAATACAGTAATGCAAAATTTCACAAAACTTCTCTCTCAAGTTCTTCTCATTAATGAAATCATGGCAAAAAATGCAAAATGTTGTAATGATTGTAATTGTTTTACTTTGGTAACATAAATCTCGTCCGGTGATTCAATCCAGCCAATGTTAACTCCTATCCCCTTAGTACACATAAGTTCTTCTCTCTTATAAATGTAAATCTTTTCTGTTTGCTCCTAAATAAAAAAAAATTAAAACATATTGCATAAGATGCAAAATAAAGGATAAGTAATCATGTTTGAGTGGAACAGAATTATTTTGACTTTTTAAGAAAATTTTAAAAGCTCGACTAAAAATCGGAGTATACAACATGGCATGCAGGGGTAACGTTCTAATATTGGTTCTAGCATTGTCATATTGTAATGGTGTTACAGATGCATCTTGGAAAATTGCTTACCGAGCTATGCTTGGTGTTCAAACGTGCGTAATCCATCATTTTCATAACGCTGCTCATCGTCTGCGGACCCGTACTGTCCTTCCGGTTAACACAGAGATCGACGAACAAAATGTCAGGGGTGGAGTCGATGACGGACATCGTGCAATCGCTGGAACATTTTTCCGAAACGATTAACGAATACATTCACGCTTTCCTTGAGTACATATACACACAGGGCTGAAAATTGTAGGCTTGTAAACTTACGCTCCGTTCGTCAGCAACCTGAAGTAACGCGTGCTCGCGATGGTCCAGAACTTATTCTTGGGCAGCATGCCGTGTAAACTGCACCGAATCGCTTGTGGCGGCAGCGCTCGCAGATGCTCATTTATCTCTCGTACTCTCGAGGCCACTACGTTGCACTCCTCGTTCCCGTAATCTATGTAAGTCACATTGTACAACGCGGCGCCGTCGTCGTCGTCGTCGTTAGTGAACACTGCGTACACGCGGGCTCGGTACCACTTGTCTCCCAATTTGTTAACGATGCACATATCATCTGTAAACATGGAGGACAGACAATGAAAAAAGACGCTCGCGAATAATAAAATCGTCGCGAGCGATCGTAATCTCGTACCTATCTTGAGGTCAAACGAGTCGTTTAGGTTCCGCTTATCGTTTCCGTACGTCATCAAATCTTTCTCCAGCTGTAAGAATTGCGCTTTTGCGGCCAATTTTCGAACGAAAAATAATGACGGATTAACGACGTGTGTTATTTCCACCTTGGACTCAGAAATGCCTTGAAAAGAGAAAGAGAACCGAATTAGATTGAGAACTGAAGTTTAAGAGTTAAAAACTTACTTAATTCTTCCTCTTTGCTTTCTTCTTTATCTTCCATCTTGATGGACGTCGTTAGTGAGACATCGTTTAGTTGTACTACCGGCAACATCGACAGCGATTTGAAATCAAAGATTTCTACGAACACCATTTCATAATTGTTTAATCGTTTTAAATAATTGAATTCATCGAGGGTACTGACTTGTGGTTTATTTATTTAAAAAAAAAATTATAAAAATTAAAATTGAAAATCGAAAGGTGAGGTCATATTTTTGAAGAAGCCACTTAAAATCGCAATACAATTAATATTCTCACTTGAACGTGGTTTCTTCGGTAAAGGTGAGAGTGTGTAATTTTTCGGTAGCTCGTCTTTTCGTACGAGGCTGTAGGACGATACTTGTGGCACTGTGATGGCACAGTGATCTTCTATAGCTGCGACAATTGAGTCATCGACGATAAGTCTGTTTGAAGAAACGTTGCGTTAGCGAACAAAATTAATCGTTCGGATTACTCGCGCTTTGTGCGATCGTACGCGACGAACAGTGTCTTGCAAAAATAATCTGCGTCTTGGATACGGATTTCCAATATTGACAAGGAGGAAAATCAACGTTCAGAAACGTTCGAGTTACTAATGGCGAAGAAACGGCCGGGAGTCGAAGCGTGAGTCAGCAAGAGGAATTTCACATACGCGCAAGTCAGCGAAAAAAAGTCGCGGTAGATAGTTCCTCTGATTAATTCGCTTTTTATTACTTACGTTGCGTTAAGATTCTGGCCCGCGTCCTTGTACATCAGATGGCAAGGGAGATCTGCCATCTCTGTAAGATGGTTAATCGCGTTTCGTATGTCCACCTTGTCGAAGGTCTGTGTCACGTAAGAGGCTGTCTATAAAACAAATGTCATAAAGTTCAATTTAAGTTGTTACAAAAGATTTTTTTTTTATACAGAGTATATTTGGAGCAACGAATTTAATTAAATGTTACTTTCGCTCGACTTTCTTCTATTCTATCAATTATTTAATAATTCAATTATTATTTAATTATTTAATTATATTCATCTACCTTCTTTTATCCACTAAATTTTTCACTTAATGAATTCTAGGAAGTTAAAATTAATTATGAATAATGTCGAAAGAAGCAGATTTAATCTGAAGCTTACAGAATCGTCAGAATACTGAAATAAACGCGTTGATTTGAAGCAAGTGTGACCAACGAATTTTTAGCATTAAATCGATAAAAATTCTTTATTTTTACGAAACGTACCTGCGATGCTAACTCCAATCTTTCCTCCTGTGATCGAAGTTGTATTGCGATTTCCTCCAAATTATTCTTGAGACGATTATCTTGCTCATGCAGCCTGTTTAGTAGTTTCGTCTCCATATTTTGGAGGATGCCATGTAGATATGCGAAATGTTGAGCGATTGATGCCTCGATGATTTCGCTGTTTTGCAGCTTGTACGTTTTGGACCTGATCGCCGATTTAATTTTCTGAAAGAATAATCACATACGATCTCTCCGTTAATACTAATTCTTCATTATATCGTGATTTGTTGGAGATAAATATACAGAAATATATGAATGTAATTTACGTTACGGTTTACATTTAGGAAACTTTTGATAAGAAAGAATGAAGGAGACATGAATGTCGAAATAAATTAAAAAGAAGAATTCAACAAGTTTTCGCTTTTCAAATATATAAAAAGACGAGATAAGTCTTAGATTTAGAGAGTGAGAAATGAAGTTTGAAAGAGCGCGCGAGATATGGAAAAGAGTCGGCGAAAGCTCGCCGATAACGATATGCATGTCCAAATGGCACGATATGGAAAAATATTATTATTGCGCGAATGCACTTGAGTATCGACGAAGGAGCCGCGCGCTCACGCGGGATATCACTTCCCTCGCGCGTTTCGATTCAAATTCGCGAGAAAAATTCGTCGTGTTGCCTCAGCTAGCTCTCCCAGGTCGTCGCTTCGTTCTCACGAAATAAATCGGCGGGAAAACAAAGTGCACAACAAAATGTTACAACATTATGCATTACCGTGGCTTGGCCCCCTCGGGAGATCTCCCTCGTTAATTGCCATCGCGAAAATTCATTCTGCTGCTAATCAGTGACTCTTACACGCCCGATGCGTCGTATTATTTCGTCAATTCGGAACTGATTTTTCTTTACGAGCAGTGCAATGACCCCGCATGTTGACTTTGTTACTGACGTCTGCAGTTACAAGGAATAAATATTTTTCGTCATTTAGTCAGAGACAGAGAGTTTCGTGTCTAATAATAATGTTCAACGATAATCGTAAATAAGCTTCAGAAAGATTAATGTTTATTAAGCAAGATCTTTTGTCTGATGATCGAAAAATTAATATTTAGGTATTTATTCTCCGTGTTACGATCGATCGATGTTCGTTTATTAAAATACTGGCGGGTTCTCGGTGGATTCAGGCGAGCGCGAGGACGAGGATCCGCTGTGCTGCGATCGGCAATCGCGCGAAGGCAGAAGGTCGGCTCGCACATCGTTCTCTCGCCTCGAGGAGGATTCCACCGCGGAGGGAAAGAGAGACCGGGGGACTCCTCTCTTCGTCTCGGTGCGGAGAGAGAACGGCTGTGGGAGAGGCCCCGTGTGCACGCGAGTGGGCCGCTGTGCGAGGCTAACACCGCTTGGCCACCGCGAGCCTTTCCTCAGTCTTTCACGTCCCGAGCAACCGGTCGCATACCCAGGCGCAAAGACAGTCGCGTGGTTCCGTTCGCCGGCGCGGGTACACTCCGCGTGTCTCCGTGTGCCTTCTCCCGGGTGCCCCCCGCGATCGGTGTCCGCCGCGAAGCGAGTGTCGACTCGACTTACGATGCGTCCGCGATCGTAGGCTCTCCCCTTGGTGCCAAACACGGAGGTCGCGCAGGTCGCGAGGAGGAAGCGAGGGTAGAAAGAAGCGGACGAGCGCAGAGGAGAAGAGGGATATATATATAATATGAGGCTCCTCTGCGTGGCGATTGCCATCGCGAGTGCAGCGTTTCTCTTGACATTCGTCTCGGGTGAGTCTCTCGCTATCTAAACGTTAGGGCCGTTCTTAAGAATGGTTCCCAAATAATTGCCAACATTTTTGCGATGCGAAAAGTAGATATAGAAATGAAACAACTTGGGATAAAAGTCGCGAGCGCTTTTCTGTTGATGTTCTTCAGCAAACTTCATCTGTCTCTTTCGCACAATTTGATTTCCTTCTTTTTTTTTTTTTAATTCTTACTAGTCTCAGGTTCACGAGCTTATTACTATTCGTTCGGATCGGCCACCGCGTGTGCGTAAGGCTCTCGAGCGTTGAATTATTACAGCGCCGAGAGTGAACGGACGTTTCCGAAGACGCTCGCAAAGGCCGTCATCGGTTCTCTCTCCGCGTTCCCTAATTAAACGCACCTAAACCGCAAGCCGATTCACAGACGATGCGTTTTCGTCAGATGAACTTAATTTGCCCCCAGCCGCAGCGCCGCGCCGTTCCCCTTTCGAGAGCAAACCGCGTCGATACCCGCGCTTCCTTCCGGACCACCCTTTGACTATTTGCGCAGCATAATTAACGCCGCGCACCGCGAAGACGCTAAAGGGAGCTCTCTCTCTCTCTCTCTCTCTCTCTCTCTCTCTCTCTCTCTCTCTCTCTCCACGGCCGATTTATCAGGTTAAACAAGATCACCGCCGCTCCCGACTCTCTCTCTCTCCCCGAAGAACGGAGCTCAGATTCGAAGTTCGAATTACAGATCGTGGACGATGCCCGGAATACGGCTTTTCCTCCGGGAAGTACTTCTTTCTCATCAGTTCAATAATTATCTTCTTTTATAGTTTAACTGCGGAAAACCAGTAACTCAATTTCTCAGCACATTACCTCGAAAGTGAATAAAACCAGTCATCCGTTTTATGTACATATATATGTTTTTCATAGCTGTTTGGTATGTTTCAAGATAATTTATCGCCTCCATTAAAAATTAATATTTGCAATAATTAAATTGCGGCTATATGCTAATAATAAGTAAACCTATCGTCTTATAATAAAAAAAAAACGCTCGCAAAAAAAAAATTTGTATAGTCGCTCGCACAAATTTCCTTCTCTCTCTTTTCACGAAAATTCTTTTCACTCGAAATTGAAAAGAATTCTCTTCGACTACGTCAATTTGTCACTTTTGGAGAAACGTGTTGATTCCCCGTGCTTATTCTGTGTGTTCAACGCAATCAGGTTCAATGTACGAATACTTCGGAAAGGCGGTGGTGTTGCAAGCGGCGGCGTTGACTCATCCCGAAGGATATCGGCGGGGCGATAATCGATGATAAACAGGGAAGATTCAATCGGTGGCGAGCGTAGAAACTTGAGTCGCATACGAGAGCCGTGTCGCCGGTCACGATCTCTTCGTCGCTTTTATTTCCGTCGTTTGCGACGGAAATGTCCGTGGGCATCGCGGCCTTCCCCTTCTCCCCAACTGCCTCTTCTCTTACCCCTGTGGCACATCCCTCGATCTATCTATTTATTTATCTATGTGCTCTATTCTACCCTCGATAGCCGGAGTCTAATGGACAATAAAACGTTTCATGCGATAAAAAGTAATAACCGCACGCGGGCGCGCGTGTCGCAAAAAATCGGCTGGTTAGCGAAGGCAATGCGTGGTTTTTACGCTTCTCCTGCACCCATTCCACTCTGTCTCTCTCTCTCTCTCTCTCTCTCTTGCCGCGTCTCTCGCCATCTTTATTTTTATCATCCCTTGGGCACGACATCGATCGAACGACCGACGCAAAAAGACAGCAAGAGGAAAAAAGGGAAGAACCCCCTGCGCGCTAAGACCGAAACACGTCAACGAGATGAGAGAGAATGAAAGTAACACGGCAGGTTTTTTCTGAAAACAAACCCTCTTTCCCTCCCAGCCCATCGGACATCGTCTCAATTACCGCTCGAACATCCCTCTCCAAAGGCGGATTCCAGCGGAAGAATTCCTCTCTCTCTCTCTCTCTCTCTGAGTTTCGCGAGCGGATCGCGAATCCGCGCTTGTACGACAAAACTCGACGACGACGACGACGAATTCTGCGATATATCGGCGAGAGTCGAACGAAATGGGAAAAAATTAATGGACAAGGCGAGAGCCTGTCATCAGACTCTATCGTTCTCGCATCTAAGCTTTAAATGAAGTTTTTACTCAAGGTCTCCTACACTGATAAAATCGATCGATAAAGGAAAATTACAATTATTATTGTTATTATGTTACATTATATCATCGGAAATAAAGGCTCACCGCCTAGCCTTATTACTTCGATCACATCAACAGTATTTATTTTACTGTCGCCGTTTACGGGTCCTGTACGCGGCGCAGCGTGCTGCTGGGCGGAAAAACCGGGGGGAGGGGGAGAGGGGGGGGAGCGGGGAGATCCGTCGCGCGATTGATTCGAAAGGCGCGTTCCACCTCGAGCTGTTTACTCGGACGATCTAGATAGAGAAACATCGCTCAAGGATCCTCTCGGTCTCTCAGACTCGTTCCCTTCAAGGATGATTAGAGAGGTAGAGATTTGTCTCTGCAGCGCACTTCGCGTACCGTGATCTCGTGGACAGAGAAAGGGAGATGATAATTAAATAATTAATCAAATCACACGTGACACGGACTGCCGATCGAGGCGCGATTTTCGACCGCGTCAACGACCGCCGGTGTCCATCCGCTTCTGTAAATCTCTCGGGACTCGGCCGACCGCGCGTTGGCCGTCGCGCAATCTGCGTCCTCATCTCGCGACAGCTCGCGCTGAACGGGGCGCTATAGCGCGTCGCGCTATGAAAAACCCGACTTTTAAGCCTTACCGATCGAATAAAAATCCTCGTGCGTACCAAATGCCCGACGTACCGTAAACCGTGGCATTAAAAGCGCGCGCGACGTAACACGTACGGCTGAATTTTTGCACCCTCCCTCCCCGGGGGAGGGGGTTGCGCACGAAAAGGAATGTCCTATCCGTCCCAGTTTCGCGTCGCTTCGTTTGACAAAAACGCGAGTTGCACGTTTTCGCGCAAAACTCCGATTAACTCTGCCGCGGAAAACGCTCGTCGGGACGGACGAGGTCCGATTGTATATACGCCAGCGGAAAGCACATCCTCCCCGCGATTATCCAAGGTATTCGCATTATTTCCTTTGTACCCTTCGCGATAACAACGCCTACAATTGCGCAAGATCGCGCTGGATCCCGATATCGGATTAGCTGAAACTTTTACGATCAAATTTTCGCTGGCAGAATATCGATATGAAAATAAGTATATTAAATTAAGGAATATAGAAGAAAAAAAGAAATTGAAGTATAAATAATTTACTCCAATTTCCAACAAATATCTAATAAAGTGTTTTTTCGAAGATCCGCAGAGCAATAGGTTAACTTACAACTGTTGACATTTTCTCATTTATTAAAAGACTTCATATTTTTCATTAAACGCGAGTTGCGTGTTTTAAAGAAAAAAAAATTAGCTTGAAAAAAACAGTACATATTTTAGCTATAATAAATTTCGTTGCTTAATATAAAACACAAGAAAAAATTTTAAAACCAGCTCTATATTTGCCGAATAGCTTTGTTAAAAACCCTGTGTTAGAATTCCATTGTTGGAAACTGGGGATTATATTATTCTAAATTTACTTCAACTTCTTTTTCTCTTCTATTTTCTTTAATTTTACATATTCTCATATCGACATTCTGCCAGCCACAATTTTGTTGTAAAGGCAAATGTGTTTGCTATTGGATAGGCTAGGTTTGTTTGGTTTAATAGCAAATTAATATGCTTCTGTGAACAATTTATACGATAAAATTTTTCTACTTTGTCAGCAAAACAGACCTCACCGTAACATCAAACGATTGGTTGTCGCACAGCAAGATTTGTTTGCCCTCACATTAAATATACAGTAGAGCAGCAACAATTTTGCCGCGACAACCAGATCATCCTTTTTCCCGTGTGGGGATCGTAACTCGTTCTCCGTCGCTCCAAGTTGACAAAGTCACTCGGTTATTCATTACAAATCTGCCATTATAATAATCGCGCCGCTTTGCGTCACGCGCATCTCGTGCGAGATTCGCATAGTGGAAAACGTATAATGTCGTCCGCCGCGTGCGAAATGCTCGCTGACGATAATGAATAGGTGCGTATCGCGCAAGAATAATATATTACTCGGCGCGAATGTGCCGGTGCATACATTTTCGCACGTATCAATTGTTTATCCGCGACTGTCGCGCCCGGCCAAAATTTCGACGTTTAAAATTACGATCTCGCGTGGATATTCTAGCAGACGCGCGCCGAAATCGGAGGGAAATGTCTGTCGACGTATAAAAATGTCGCAAGGCTGTCTGTACCGAGCGTTCGCCAATCCACGAGTTCTCGAACGTTAAATTTCACGGCACGCCTCGCGATAGAATCCCGATTGTGAAGGCACGGATTCTCGTAGTCGATGGGTGACTCACCGCGCGGCGCGGCGATATCGCGACGATCAATTACGTTTCGACATCGCAAACCGGCGACAATAAGGCGAGCGGGCCTCTCGTAATCCGGGCATGTAAACGCGCGTGTACTAATTATTGACTTGCTGGCTTGCTCGCTCGCTTGCGCCACGCTCCGGTCGCGAGATCGTGCATGACAATCAAGCCGCGGGGAAACCCGCGATCGTGAGCCGAGTTATGAATTAAGTCCCCTCTCGCGCCGCGACGCGTTTCAGGTGGGAAAAAGAAGGCGCGGGAGCTCTCTTTTTTATTCGCGCGTCCACGTGTCCGCGAGCGGCGACATCGCAGGAGTCTCGTCCCGTGTGGCATTCGGCGCATTCACATGCGGCGACGTAAATATGCTAAATAAATTAAGTGATCGTCTTTGTACGCTTTTCCGTATATCGTTAACCCCCGTCGTACGTTCCTCTGGAAGAAAGAAATGCGGGATCTCAAGTTCATTTCGCCGACCGGTCTGGCTGCTTCGGCCGCTGATCCTCTCGCGTAAAACAAACGTGGAACTAACGAGAGGAGAGTTATCGCCCCCTGCCTTCTCCCCGCGTGCAAA